AGTCCTCTCTTTGTTCATTAAAAATAATTTCATTAGGTATGTTTTTTCTTCCATACATTGTTTCTCAAACTTTCTTCGGTTGAATAAACTGAATAAATATTTGGGAATGCAGGGAACATCCAGTGAAGGCAAGAGTCCCCTTTCTAATTTTTTTTTTTTTTTGGTCTTAAGAGCATGCGAGTTCACACTTTTTGGCAAATAAAATGGTTATGGTGGCATATGTGTACACTTCCTCTAATTTAAAGGCTTTTTAAAATAGATTTTGTACCCAAAATGTAATCTAAAAGTATGTTTACATTGTTATTTTGAATTTGAATTATTGTATTGTAGAAAGTTAGCACCCACCCCTTTCCTAGAAGAATGAAATATTTTAGGAAATATTAAAAAAGCAGAATATTATATTTCCCTGGTTGAGAAATGGAGAAACATGTTTTAAAGACAAAGCAGCTCCCACCTTCCTGCCCCACCCTTTGTCAATGGGCCAGAGGCAGAAACTCAATCCTTTGTCAAAGGATCATCACCTGCAACACAATAGGGCCAATCTAACAACAGAAACTAACACAATGGGACCCATCTAGCAGCAGAAACTCACCACATGGCACCTGGGAAGATTACATCTAAAACCCCCACCCCCAGGAGTCTGACAACCAATCAGGATACTCTTTCGGGGCCCCAAGAAGTTCAAAGCCAGAGAGAGCATAAAACTCGGGGACTCGCTGTATCTTGGCCCTTTTCTGTTCAGGAACTCAAACCATGTGATCCTGTCCACCATTAAACCATCTTTCAAAGCAGTCTCCATATTTCCAGTGTCTTTTTCCCCACTTGGAGCTGAACCCAGAAGGATATTTCTTCCTACAGTATGTACCTCTTGGCATAACAACAATATTTCTTAGGACAAATTTGCTGGTCATGAATATTCTTCAACAAAATGTATTGATTAAAAAGGAGCCAGGGGCAAGTGAAATCCTAATTCATTGTATTTCATATTGGTACTTTTTGTAGTGGTTGTGGAATAAGGATGCTATGGAGAAATACTTAAAATAATCACCTGAACACCATATGGTTGATAATGGTTTCACTTGAGAATCCCCGCTCTAGGGATTTAAGGTATACACACCATACACATAATTTTGATTTTTCCCTTAGCTTGAGATGGGTTGGACAGAGAGATTTGTATTTAGTCTAAAGTCCGCATAGTTTCCATGGCTGAACCTAGGTCTCCCTATCCTAATGCAAGTGGTCCAGTGGGAATCCCCTTAATTTATGCTAATTCAGAGAAAAGAAATTTAAAACAAGAAATGGATACACAAGGAGGCAACATGGCAGTCTGACTTAACATCTGACAGATAACCGTGGTGTAATATAATCTAAGGAGATTCCAGTTCCACCACACAGATGATCACACCTGCCATACTAATAATGAGATTGTGTTGAAACACAAAAGTATTCTGTAGTGTGGTGAGATGTTCCCATTGTATCACACAGCGGACATACAATAGGCACAGTCATCCATTAGTTGGGCTGATCCTCTTTCAAAGCCAAGTCTGGGCACAAGAAACCAGCTGAAAAGATCCAGACATTTCCACTGGCCAGAATAGTCATGGAGGGCTATGCGCAGGGTCCAGAGAAAAAGGAAGCTGGTCATTAGGAATTAGGATGGTGCCATCTTTTGGAGGATCATCTGACCTCATGATTGATAGAATGCCCATGAATTATGGCAGATTGCATCCATAGCTAAGGAGGGAAAATGCTAATTTATCACTGAAACAGTTGAGGACATAATGTTGCTTCAGATAATGGGCAGAGGATCAGATGAAGGTAACATCGTAAGAAAAAACTTGTTGTAGCAGCATTTTGTGTCATTGGATACAACCATGGAAAGATATGAGAGCTAGGGTGATAAAGTTATTCATTTGTAGTAGCATTAGTATTACATCCCTTTTCATATAAAGGGAGCCTAACCTATTTGCAGTACTCAGAAGACTTGTAGAAATCAGATGTCTGCTATAACTCACAATTATGAATAGGTGGAGAAAAGGAGGAAAACAAGGAGGTGTATAACATCAAAGGGCTAAAGAAGGACACATTTCTGCCACTTCTTATGGTCTGTAGAGGTTCTCATCCAGGTCATGGTTGTCCCTAGGGTGCTTTTTCAGGAGACAACTGGCCTTTCTTGTTTTTTCTTTTAAAGGTGTCTCGCTTCTCATCCAAGAAGCTTCTTCAGCTGTAACAGGATAGTGGGGAATGGAAGGATTTATATTCTTTGCACACAGCTGGTAATTTGCATCCTTTTAGAGAGTTGTGGAAGTACTTGGAGGTTTATCTGTGTCCTCAGGGTGACCTGAGTAGCGCTCCTGGTTCCTGTAGTCTGCAATTTGTCCTCAAAATTCTTTTCAAAAGAAAAAATAAGGAAGACCAGTTGCCTCGTGAAAAAGCACCTTTGGGACTACCATTTCTTAAATTTGAATAGAGTTATCACTTTTTTCCAATCGCAGAAAGTCTGGTGCCTTTTAGAATTGAGTGTCAACAAATATTACTTTCTTGCTCATTATTATCTCTATTTAGGCCCTCGCTTGGTGAATATATGTGCTTATTTTAAAAGTATAAGAGCTTTGTCATTGTAAAACATGCACATAGGTATATGAAATAAACCTGGACCATGAAGGGAACAAGGATATTGATATGATCAGCTAGCAAATGAGTTAGTTCAGAATGGAGAAATTGATATTCTAAAGTAGAACTTTCCAAACAGGGATAGCAAGATTTTGTTTATTTTTAGAAGAAACTTGAGGGAACTCTGATCACTGTGACAGTATCAATCAATGCCAAAGTATCTTTTAGCTATCCTACTACCAACCAATGAAAGAGTCTAATGGCTTGAGTTGACTTGGCTAATTAGCAGTTTGAAGTTAGCCTAAATTTGTCTGTTTTTTTTTTCTGTACCACCATTGGCCTGTTAAGGCAATCTCCTCCAATCTTCTGCCCCTCAAAAATGTGGGACTTATATTACTATGCTGGCAGAGGATGTTGGGAGCAGAATTTCAAGAAGTTATACCACACTGGGGAAGTTTGCCTGAGTGTTTTATAGTGGGGCCACAGATGCCTTTCTGAAGCATCTGATGATAGTCAGGATCTTCCACAATGAAATATCCTTACATATAAAGCAGAGGCCAACAATCCCATATATTGCCAAAGCCAGTAGTGCCCATGGTATTTCTAAATTGTTTGGTGCTCACTGGAGCTAACTAATCAAGCATATACTTGAGCTTTTTACAATTCACTCCAATGTCCATGAATGCTTAGGTGAAATTATCCAGGGCAAATGATGTAACAATAAGATACGCCAGTGAAATAAGCATGGATCAAGTTGTGTGTGTGGGTATCTTTCAGGTTTCACACTGCTGGCTAGGGCTACTGGAAATTGTAGTTCATTCGGAGACTCACAGGTTTCCCTACATTCAGTTATTTGCCTGATAGGTTGAATGGTGGTCACCCCAATGCCTCCACTTTGGGATTTTACACAGTGTTAAATTGCCATTATCATTACTCCTAGGCAGAGTGCTGGTTGGGTGTGGTTCTCCTCCCAGTATATTTTATGGGTGGTAGAGTGAGAGATGCTGTCTGTTCAAACATTACTTGTCCTTTGAGAAAAGGGTGTTTTCCTGTCATTCTGGAAACAATAAATATAAAGTACAGATGGCCCAGATGCTTTAATGTGGTAGTGGTGGTGGGAAACTTTTTAAAAAAAACCAGAGTATAGGAAAAGATACTGTGTCTCCCCAAGTACTGTTCATACTGTGATAGATAGTCCTGTGAATGGGTATGTAATGAATTAGCACATTGGGAAAAAGAGAAGATAACCACTGTCTCCCCAACTTCTCATTTTTTGTGGTCAAAACAAAAAGAAATTTTACCCCTTCTTCTTGGAAAAAAAGTGTCTGTAATGCTGAAAATAAAACCTATCTACTGGGAACCATAATAATCTACCAGGACTTTACATGTCAATCTTTCAGGGTAACATTTATAAAGCAACAGATGGGCACGGTATAGATTGCCAAGCTACTCCTCTCCCCATTGCCCTTGTCATTCAGTCCTAGACAAAAGTAGAGATTATCTTTCTCTTCTCATTTTCTGAAGCTGTGCTCTCTTTAAGTAAGTTTAAATACAGTAATAATTAATACAAAGAGAATAATACAAAAATAATAACTAATACAATCATTTTTCTAACACGGGGAGAAAGATACACAGCTCCACATTTCCAGCTAGCAGAATCCAAAATTAGGGGGCTCAGGGTGGGGATATGGGCAACTAGCAGCCATTTTGCCTTTCAAAAGCTATTACTCCACCTGTTGAGAGAATCAACTCTGGAAAGAATAATATGATGTACAATTGGTGAGAATCGGTAAGGGACAAATCAAATTCAAAACATGGCTTGCAGTTACAGTTTAGAGGGCAAGCCCAATTTGCAGACTTCCGGTTTTGATATGATAATAAATTACAGTTTCCACAAGCCAAGAAGTACATAATGAAGCAGACATAAGGGGAAGTATTAGTCATTAAGGGCCAAGTAATTCTATGACGTGGTTTATATATTACTCTAAACCAATTATGAGATTTGTATGGTTTTATGGTAGTTGAGTATCTCGTGTGAATGCAACACTATGGCTTGTAAGCCATGATTTATGGCCTCTTTGCTCTAGTGAATAGAAGGTCTGCTAGACCAATTGTAATCACATTGCTGACTCATATTCAGATTGCTCTTTTCTCCCACCCCACCCCAACTCAGAAATGCTAGTTTATTTTCCTATTTTTTGTAAGTGTATGAATTTGGACTTCATGGGGTGTAGATTCATGTGGATGCTTTCTGATCAATTGACTAATTACAGCTTGTTTTTATTTTTTGTCCCTTTCAGATTGAGAATTACAGTATGTTTCCCTGGTAGAGACATTTAAAGCTAAATTTGCTTGTTCCCATTAAGAGTAAAAGGAGAAGAAAAGAGTTATATGTTATTATTTTTATTGAGTGTACTTTTTATGTAGAAAAAAATAACGAGAGAGAAAATAAAGCACCAAAGGAAATGAAAACTTCATTCAGGCAAGACAACATTCACTCCTCCTCTTCTTCCTTTTCGTCCTATGTGGGGGGAAAAAAGAATTATTTTTCCTCCAAATTTTTACTAATCATAATGACCTATCAAAAGGAAATACCATGTTTTGAGTTCTAGATTAGTCACGAACTTTTCTGAATTTTCCATCATAAAAAAACTCACCACAAAAAGAAAATTAGAAGCCAGAAATGTTTTTATCATCTTTTAAGTGATAGTTTCCGAATAAAATTGTTTTAAAATGTGAGCAGCAATACACTGAAAAATGAAATACCTGCAGCCAGAGGTGGGTTTCAGCAGGTTCTGACCAGTTCTGGAGAACCAGTAGTGGAAATTTTGAGTAGTTCGAAGAACCAGTAGTAAAAATTCTGACCAGTCCCGCCCCCATCTATTCTCTGCCTCCCAAGTCCCAGCTGATCAGGAGGAAATGGGGATTTTGCAGTAACCTTCCCCTGAATTGGGGTGGGAATGGAGAATTTTTAGTATCCTTCCCCTGCCACGCCCACCAAGCCATGCCACGCCCACCAAGCCACACCCACAGAACCGGTAGTAAAAAATTTTGAAACCCACCACTGCCTGCAGCCTTAGTTAATACTATCTTTGATGTTGTATAGATGGATCCACCTGACTAGCTGAATGTGCTGCTCACACTTGAATGACCACTGGGGCTATATTAATAGGCAGAATGGAAACAATACTAAGTATAGGTAATCCTTGAATTACAGCCATTCGTTTAGTGACTGTTTGGAGTTACAACGGCACCAAAAAATGTGACTTATTTTTTTCGCATGACTGTTGCAACATCCCCATGGTCACATGATCAAAATTCAGGTGCTTGTAACTAGCACGTATTTATGATAGTTGTGCTGTCCCAGGGTTATGTGATCGCTATTTGTAACTTTCCTAACTGGCTTTGAACAAGCAAGGTCAATGGGGGAAATTAGATTCACTTAATGACCGAACAAGTCACTTAACAACTATAGTGTTTCAATTGTGTCAAAAAAGGTTGTAAAATGGGGCAAAACTCACTTAACAACTGTCTTGCTGAGCAACAGAAACGTTGGGCTTAATTGTGGTCGTAAGTCGAGGACTACCTGTAAGGCAATTTATGCCAAATTTCCAGGAATGAGCGAATAAGAGGGCATTCTCATCTAGTGTAAGGGTTAAGATATTGGGTCTGAACTGTACACACCAACCTATACATGTAGTATATGTATCTATGTGCACATGTAGCCGTATAAGCTTGTATATACACATCTGTATGGGGCAGACATATCAATTTTGTAAAATTAAACAGCACTATTTTCCTCCCACCTGCTCACATGCTTAGGAAAATTCAACAAAACCTAATCCCTCCCCTTGCCTTGAGAAATCCTGGTCCTGCCTATTAACACAAAACTTTAAGAAGTGTCACCCCTACTACCAAACAGTTGTCTCCTGTACCAATAAAGGAGAATTTTTGTAGCTCAGAGTGTGAAATGAGAGGTCCTTGGTGCTCTCTGAGCTTGTTTATTTTCTTGCAGATCTTTCATTACCCAAACTAGGTAACATCATCAGTGCTGGTTGTCTCCTGTGTTCTAGATATCCATCAACTGATACGAATCTGCATCCTAATTAGAGTGATACATAGTATGTTGATTCAACTTGAAGTAGTTTTTATTATTTGGTTAGTCAGCCTATCTTCTAAAACAGTGGTTCTCAACCTGTGGGTCAGGACCCCTTTGGGGGTCAAATGACCCTTTCACAGGAGTCACCTAAGACCATCGGAAAACAAATATTTTCAATGGTTTTAGGAATAATTTTATTGTTGGGGGTCACCACAACATGAGGAACTGTATTAAAGGGTCGCAGCATTAGGAAGGTTGAGAACCACTGTTCTAAAATTATTTAGTTATTTTATGTAGTTATTTTTTTAGAAAGAGCCACAGCTTAGTCATACTCCACTTTGTATCAAGGCTGCAGCTGTGGAGATGCTCAATAGTATTAAGTATCTGGGGGTGTAGATAACTAACAATCTGACTTGATCTCTTCATACGTTAATCTTTAGTGAAGCATGCAAACCAGCGTTAGCATTTCCTGTGTCAGATGAGGAGAACAAATCTTTCTCCTCCTGTTCTGGCCACTTTTTACAGAGGCAGAATTGAGAAAGTTTTAACAAACTGCATCACTGTTTGGTTTGGTGGCAGCAGTGCCTCAGATAGAAAGTCCATACAGAGAGTAGTAAGGACAGCGGAGAAGAATATAGGAAGCTTGCTTCCCGTTGTTCAGGATACTGCTTATAAGTGCTACGTGCTCAGAGCTCAAAGCTTTGTTAGAGACTCCACATACCCACTTCATGGTTTCTGTTCTTCCCTCTGAGAGGAGGTTTTGAAGTATTTCTAGCAGGACTATTAGATTCTGTAACAGTTTTGTTCCCTATGCCATCTGTCTTGTAAATTTGCAGGTTTTTTGTTTTGCAATGCATATGTATACATTCAAACTAGACTGACCTTTCTCTGTGTCATATATGTATGTGTATGTGGGTATATGCATAATGGTTATCCTTTGAGAGGTGAATGCAATGAAATTTCATTTTAAGGTATGCTGATTAGTGTATATTTAAAGTAACAATGAACTATTCTATTCTATTCTATTCTATTCTATTCTATTCTATTCTATTCTATTCTATTCTATTCTATTCTATTCTATTCTATTCTATTTTATTCCTGTTTCTATTTCTATTTCTATTCTATTCTCATTCTGGAGATTTGAAATATCATGAACAGAATCTATAATCTGCCTCAACATAGTGCCCTTCAGAAGTTTTGGAGTGATCTCCAGCGAAGGTTCTCAGTTATTGGAAGACTGATTCATCACAAAATGTGGAAAAGGATACCAACCTTAGGAAGAATTACTTCATTGTCATCGTCTTCAAACTCCCGCTCCTAAAACATAAAGAATTTTCAATACATGAAGTAACATGAAACTGATCCATGCATCATTCTTCATATTCTGCACTTTGTTACCTTTGAGCTCCCAGGAACCTCACTGCCTACAGGAGTACCTTCACCCACATGAACTTGCTCAAATTTTAAGACTGCAGTTCCTCCTGTTTGATCCCCAGTTAAATTAGTCCTGTTTGGTGAGACCTAAAGAACACATTATCCAGATTGCAGAACTAATTCTTTGGGAAATCCAGCCAGTCCATTATTTGATGCTTTTAAACAGGCATAGATTTAAATAAAACTCCAAAAGATGCCAAGCATAAACAAATGAACAAAGAAATAATTGAATATAAAGTATTTCCAGTTTTGCTGAGCGAGATGAAGTTTTAGCTGATATATATTGATGCTTTTTATAAACTTTACAAATCCTTTGACACTGAGGGACCATCTTTTCTCATATGAACAGATGCCAAAATCATCATTGTAAGCCATTCATCTTTGCAGCACAGGAGGGTGGCTACTGGAAACCTGGTATTTTTTTTCCTGAGTGCATTCTGATTTTAGCATTCTTTCCAAAGGGAGATTTGTTTGATGGTATCATGCTATATTTTGCTAACGGACAAAATACATCCTGTTCTTCTGAACTTTAAAGTGATTTGTTGTGTGGTTTTAATTACATAATGATTTAATAATAATAATTTAATAATTTATAAATATGTATGTCTCCCAACTCCCAATTATAACAATCAAAGAAAATTTAAAAAAAGAAGATGGCAACTGTGATGAAGCAATAGATTACATGGATTATATCTCTCCCACCATTCTTGCTGTTGGTTTGATTTCTGTTCTATTATTAATTTTAGATTGTTGCACAAATCTAAATTGTTTGATTTTATGATTTTTCTTACTTATTTTAACTTTAATTTTCATACAGCTGCTCACTATTAAATTTCTCTGTTTCTTCATGCCCAAGATGTTATTTTTATTACTGTTTTAACCACTTGCTCGTTAATAGGAGAAATAAGTGGAAATGCTTAAGAAGTTGGATATGGATCTTTAAGAGGAATGAATGATCTCCTAGAAAATACCAACATTCTAGGCTGCAATCCTGCAGAGTTAGGTTATTCCTCTGATGCAGAGGAATGCTCTGACACAATCTACAGGTAGTCCTTGATTTACAACTGAGCGTGGAATTAGGGTCATAAGTTGTGCTGATCACCAAGCCATCATGTGATTGACCTGATTTTTGATCATTGAGTATATCACCATGGCCATTAAATGAATACCGTGATCATTAAGCAAATGCCACAGTCATTAAGCAAATCCATTGTCTCCAATGAGTGGGTTTTTTTGTCAGAAACTGGAAATAAATGCTGGGTTTTGGCAAGAAGAACCCTGTAGTAAATCATGGTCACATGATTGTGGGATGCTGCAAATAGCCATAAATGTAGACTGGTTGCTGGGTGCCCAAAATGCAGTCACATAATAGTGGGGGAACTTTGTCTCTGGGTTGTAAGTACTTTATTTTTGGGTCCGTTGTAACTTCAAATGGTTTTTAAGAAACCAATCATAAGTCGAGGACCACCTGTACACAAATTCTCATCTTTCCTCATGAAAATAATTAAATAGTTATCATAACTATGACTATTTTTAGAGTTCTACCTTTTGCTTTGCAAAAATGCTCCTGTATCGTACAGTAATCTACAGCAGAGGTGTCAAACTCAAGGCCCGGGGGCCAGATCTGGCTCACTGGGTGCTTAGATCTGGCCTGCGGGGCCACCCTGGAAACAGCAAAGGACCAGCCCACTGTGCCTCTGCCAGTGAAAATGGAGCTCAGCCCGAGCTCTGTTTTTGCTGGCAGAGGGTTGCAGGAGGCTGTTGCAGCTGAAAATGGAGCTCATGAGGACTGCAGGAGGCCCTCCCTAGCTCCGTTTTCACTGGCAGAGAGTTGTAGGAAGCCATCACAGCCAAAAACGGAGCTCGAAAGCCGTTTTTGCTGGCAGAGCGCACACGCCACCACAGGCACCCCCGAAACAAGTGACGTCGAGCTGGCCATGCCCCCCCCGCCCCCCCCAAGGTCAAACACAACCCTGATGCAGCCCTTAATGAAATCGAGTTTGACACCTCTGATCTACAGTATTGGGAAATTGCCTTTCCCATCTTTATTCTGAGATGGGATTAAATACATTATAAGTACCACCCAACAAATATTTTTGTAAGACTCTCCATCCTTTTTTGGTGTTTTGTTTTGTACTCATTACATTTGCCACTCAGAAAGGCCTCCTTTCCCCACAGCCCACCGAGCTTCCTGTTACCAGTTGCATAGTTACCTTTTCCACTTTTGATTTGGCTTGAGCTCGCTCGCGGCGCCGAAGTTCTCCTTCAATTATCTCAAAGAACTCTCTATGCACTCGTTTCATAACTTCCTGTGGCTTTTCTTCCTCAACATCTTCTTTGGCCTCTTCATCCTTGCCTTCCAGCTTGGTTTTCTCCTTGAGACGCATTTCACGGTGGCGTGCCTCCAGAATCTTCTCTCGCTTTGTCTCCCGCTCAAACATCTGAGATGCACATTGTTATGGGTGAAAGGCATTCAACTAAGTTCTGCTCATAGTTATTGTGATAGCAACACTCTTCTATTCTACAGGGTACCAATAACAGGTAGATAGTGGGAAAATTGCCTGTCACAATAATATATTACTGAATGTTTGTATTCTACCAGCAGCAGCACTCTATTGATGGAAGGGATCTGCTGTTCACTTACTGGCTCATAAAGCAATAATTTGATGAAACTGATGAACTGTTGCTTGTATACAGTGGCTTAGCTCTTTTGACGGACAGAATTAACAGATTACCTTGGTTGGTTTATATCAGTGAAAGTAAAGGCTTCCTCAGGCTGAACTTTGATACCTGATAGCCACATAGCCTTTTTTTCCCCCTTGGGAGCAAGATGGAAATGTTTGTTTCGCTTCCAAATATTAATCAGCTCTGACTCTGGTTAGCTTTTTTTTTTTTTTTGAGATCCAGTCCAGATTTGCTTGGAACTATCATATGTTGTGGCATTTATGCTAACAAGAATACTAAAAAAAAAAAAAAGGATATAGAGAACAAAGATGGAAAACTAGAATTCAACCCAGAGAAGGAACAATCTCACTTCAGTTCTCAGAGGTTTGCTTGCCTGGCACTTTGCCCATTTGTGACAATCAGGAGATACTCACTGCTGAGGCCAGGTTCTTCTCATTCCGTTGCAAAGTACAGAGGCCAGAAGAAAATTCCAGAAGCGTTACTGTGCCCAGCTTGGATCCACAGCCAATAAAACGCCCATTATCCTGCAAACGCAGACTGAAGAGAGGCTCATCGCAGACCTGGTAGAGGAAGACCAATTCAGGAGACAAAAAAAATATATCCATGTCAACTCTTTCGCATGTTTAAGACAACATGTAAATTTACCATAAAATATATGTAATCCTCCTAGAAGGAGCCATTTAGGCCATTGAGATCAACTTCCTATTCAGTGAAGGAATCCTAATTAAAGTTATCCAGTCTCTGTTTGGAGATATCCAGCAAGGGATAATTCACCACCTCCTTAGGTAACTGACTAGACATTCAGCAAGAATTTGACTTTCTGTTAACTTTAGACTTCAGTACTTAGCACTGAGTACTAGAGTGCAATTGCAACCTGTTTTGAAGACCTCGGATCTTATTCTAATTCAATTGTCAAACAAAAGGGGTTTCCCTCCCCATATATTTCTTCTATAAAGTTGATTTTTATATTGTCTTTCAATAGTAAGATGACCGGCATATACACTTAATAAATAAAATAAAAATAAGGGGAAAAAAACTAGATTTATAAATTGGCATTTCTGTTTCAGCAGTGATTATTATTCTTTGCAAACAGTCTTACATGGAAACTTTAAAGCACTTATTAAAATATGGATTGGGGCTAGTTTCCGTTATGATGCACACTGGGCTGCAAAATTTCTAGGATCCAATTTCGCTGGAACCTGAAGTTTAGTCTTTCGAGCTTTGGCACTTGTACTGGAGCCCATCTTCAGAGTGTGAAAGTTTGGAAGACTACACCTTGAGTCCTGGTGACTGACCAAGATAGGATCCTGCAACATTATCCTGGGACACATATATTTGCCTTCATTCGTGCAAAATTTCGCCTCAATGAAAGAGGCAAATTGTGTGATTGACATGCCAGTACAGCAGCATCAAAACAATTGTAGTGGGTATGAATCAGAGGTGGGTTTCAGCAGGTTCTGACTAGTTCTGGAGAACCGGTAGTGGAAATTTCGAGTAGTTTGGAGAACTGGTAGTAAAAATTCTGACTGGCCCCACCCCCATCTAGTCTCTGCCTCCCAAGTCCCAGCTGATTAGGAGGAAATGGGGATTTTGCAGTAATCTTCCCCTAGAGGGGGGACGGAATGGAGATTTTACAGTATCCTTCCCCTGGAATGGGTGGGGAATGGAGATTTTACAATATCCTTCCCTTGCCATGCCCACCAAGCCACGCCCACCAAACCATGCCACGCCCACAGAACCGGTAGTAAAAAAAATTGAAACCCACTACTGGTATGAATCCCTACAGAGCCAGCAAAGTGACCTCAGTAGTATGAGTTGATACATCAAATCAGAGAAAGCTTGTAATTAATGTAACTTAAGAGAGAAGATCTTACAAAAAAAAGATCGGGATACAGAAACCCATGGGGCAAGGCATGCGTGGTTGTTTTCCATGTCCTTAAATTACCTTCAGGTGGAGTGTAGGATCATTTTGTTTAAAAAGGAAGTCCCAAACATCAAGGGTCCCATCCATCTTAGTAGTGAAGAAGACAGCTGGTCGAGTTGTGCTCCAACACCCATCTGTGAGATAAGCCATATGGTATCTGCCGAAAACATATTGTTTATTTTTTTTCTGTGCTAGTCTCCCTATGAAGATCCTACTTTGAAAGATGGCCTAGAAATACTCTAAATAAGTAAATGTTTATTCTCTTCTATTACAAAGGATTCATTTAAGATAGCTGCAATTTGTAAGTCCTTTTGTACAAAGTACATGAATCCTATTTGTAAATGTTGAGGTCTGAACTTGAAGTACCTGCATATTGTCCTTGACTTAGAACAGTTCATTTAGTGACCATTTGAAGTTACAAAGGCACTGAAAAAAGTGACTTATGACCATTTCTCACACTTAATGACCGTTGCAGGATCCCCATGGTCACGTGATCAAAATTCAGACACTTGACAATTTACTCATGATTTTTGCAGTGTCTCAAGATTTATATGATCACCTTTTGTGACAGTCTGACAAGCAAAGTCACTGGGGAAGCCAGATTCACTTAATAACTGTGGCAAGGAAGGTCGTAAAATGGGGCAAAATTCACTTAAATGTCTCGCTTAGCAACAGAAATTTTGGATTCAATTGTGGTCGTAAATCGAGCATTACCTGTACTAAATACTTTTATAGACATTTCTTTATTTCCAATATTTATAGTCATCCTTAATCCTAAGAGACCCTGTGGTAATGGCAAGATAAAATATATAGTGTAAAAATTAAAAGGGTAAAATTTGTAACAAAAGTCAACTATCAGCCAAAACGCACATTTAAACAAGAAGGTTTAAACTTGTTTATAAAAAGCATGCAGGCTTGGGTGTCATCTGCTTTCCCAGGAGAAAAGAGGAAGATATTCTATTCATTCATCCTTTCATCTAACCAACCATACATGGTATGTGCATATGTGCATCATCTATATGTGTGGATATGACAAAAGTGAGAAAAAGAATGAGGCAGAACATGCTAAATAACAATCAACCAATAAATTCTGTAATACCAAGTGGGGGTAGGGGGGAGTGAGGTTTGGATAAAAGGGCAAACCATTACTGCCGTCATAGTTCTTCTTATTTGGAAGTGTTGAAATGTATATAAAACAATAGCCTTCCCTGTGTTTTCAGCAAACAAAAACATTTCTGATCAAATAGTTGTAAAAGTTTTTCATCCAAAGCATTTCAATTTCTGTAAGCCGCGTTTCAATTCATGAACTCAACAAAATGGTTAGCTTTGATTTGGAAGGAAGGCCTTCCCCCCCACCCCCCCTCAGCCTGTACTTCTGGTTTCTAAACAGAGGATTAAAAAATGGTTGCCATAGGGATTAGGCTTCAGTCAACCTATGAGACAATGGACCAGTGTGAAGAAGTTACAAAGTTGGAGACTTCTGATGGCTCTGAGCCCAGAATGTACTCTGATAAAAAAATTAGGATTATATGACTACTGCCCAGACAAAAGGGAAGTTGTTTTGGGACAGTAAAAAAAAAAAAAGCAATATGATTTTTTTCCCTCCCAACCTACCATCTGTTAACACAGGACCTTCTTCTTTTTAGTTACTGTAATACAGGATGAGGGGTGGGAGTAATGAAAAAGCAGAATGTATCAGAAATAGAAAGAAATTAGGGAATGTGAGACATAGAAATTATCTCTTCTTTACCAACTCTTTTCTCACTCCAATTAATGTGTTAATTATTTTTGCAGATTTCACTTTGTTATTGTAACACATGCTTGTGATTTTTAACTTAAAGAAGCATTTCTTTATTTAAATCTAACTTGGCAGATAGAATCCATCTAAGTTTAATTGCCGGTCTCACTGTTCCATTTCCTACCCATGAAGAATTTTCAAGTGAAACTCAAAATTGGCTATTTTTTAAAAAATAGTTTCTTCATTTGCTACATGGATTAAGATGGATACTTTGCTTTGAACCTCCACGTAATGCCTCTGGAATATGCCTTCTTCCCTTTAAATAGGAATGTATGTAAAGCAAAGTTATGCCATCAGTGGCTAAGACACTGAGTTTGTCGATCAGAAAGATGACCTTCAAGGTCCCTTCCAACTCTGTTATTGTTACTGTAACTGATTTAGAAACCCCAAAGGATGGAGAACTAATGAGGTGGCTGCATTACTACGGACATGCTCCATTTGTTATTCCCGTTTAACTGTTTTTATAGTTTTTAAATGCTTTTAATACTTATTGATGATAATTATTTTAGATATTTATTGTTTTAGCTTTGTTGTATGCTGCCCAGTGTCACTTGGACGTGAAATGGGCAGCTCTATACATTAGATAAATAAATAAAATGTAAGAACTACTTCACTTTGCTCTTCAGTGCAAGCAGTTCCCCACTTTACTTTTCATTTAATATCACATTACATTTTATATGAAATGCATTCACATATGAAGATGCTAATAACACCTTTGTGATTAAAAAAATGTATCATTGCATATGTTTTTGAGAATGAATTTCAATCCATTTTATCAGATGGGCTGGGATCCACAAAAACCTATGCAATAATAAAATGTTAAGACCTCTTTGATATTCTTATAGAAGGTATGTGAAACAAATATTTTACCTGCCTTTTGTTTTCTGTTATCAGTATTATTGGCAAGGTCTAGGAAGAGGGCCTTTTATGCTGCTGCCCCTGCATTGTGGAATACCTTGCCCTCAGAGGAGAGGAAAGCCCCCAGTTTCTTGGCCTTCTGCAAAGGGGTCAAAACTTGCCTGTGTAGTCTTGCATGGGGGACACAGGGGCCCAAACAACCATGGGACTGGTTGGCCCTACGAGAATACCTCCCTCCCCCCCAATTCACCTGTATTCTAATCCCCTATCTTGAAATTCTTCATCTTTTAATTTTTTAAAAATGTTTTATAATTTTTTTTAAAAAATAATCCTAAATTATTCTGATTGTAATGTATAATTTTACTGATTAAATTGTACTCTGGGCATCCAGAGCCCTTCTCCTAGGAAGATAGGCGGTTAAGAAATATGAACTATAAATAAATTAAATTAAAAATAATGGCTTTGCAGAGTTACCTACTTAGTCCACATGATGCATGATTCTTTGCTCTCTTCCGACCAAATGCGTGCTGTCCAATCTCCAACAGTCATAAAGTTCTTGGGGTAGAAAGGATTTCTTGACAGAGAATAGATGGGGCCATGGTGGCCACTGAACGTGCAGACAATTTTTTCAGCAGGTGTCTTTGCCTTGCGGTTACAAGAAATTACAATCCCTTGCTCTGTTCCCACCATGAATTTGGTTGGCTGTGGAAGGCCAATGAAAAGTTACAAATTACTTACATGTTTGGAACTTCTATTTGCTTGACAAACAAAACTTCCTAAAAAGGAACAATCTACCCATCTAGTCTGCTCGCCAGTGATGCATATGGAGAAAAAAGACAGGGATAGTATTATTTTCAGAAACAGTGCTGCAGAATTTATTAACAAAGTCTAGACATGGCATTCATAATATTCAAAATGACTTATGATTTTATTTTAGCTGGTCATCATGTGATGTACGAACAGGATGTACACATAATTAGCACCTGCGTTTATGTTATGTTCTCACCTGCATTGGCCACAATATTTTGATACCTTCAAAACAGGGTACAGCAATAACCATTTAATATGAAAGACAAGTTCTGTGATATTGAAAATACAAGTTCAAAGAATAATATGAAATAAAGTTCATACTTTGGAAGCAAACATGATTCGAGAAATTATGTCTGTTACCCTAAATAGGCATCTTATAATTCTCCAGCAAAGCATGGATTGTGTGTGTATTAATATTTTTTTCAATGCAGGGGAAAATAAACCTGCTTCTTTTATTAACTTTGTATGAACTTACTTTATTTCAAAGCTCTGATGTTAGATCTGGAGCCTGTATGTGTGCTCATCTGTGTGTGTGTGTGTGTGTGTGTGTGTGTGTGTGTGTGTGTATTTGACGGAGAGAAAGAGAGAGAAAATAAGACCACAAGTGTAATGGACAGGGATGTCCTTATCAATTTAGCCACCCTACTATTTCTCAGAAAACTACATTCACCTTGATTAGGGACTTGCTTGACCATGTAACAAAAAAGAAAAATGATGTTTATCGAGACCTGTTCCTACTGGCTATAGTGATAAGGCCACAGCAATTAGCTCCCTGGTAAATTATTACTGGTCTCCCTCCCCACACCTCAAGTAGCAGTCTCTTTGGAATGAGATTTAACATGGTGTTTAAAAAGTGTGTTTGTCAACATGGAAATGAGCAATACGTTGCCAGTTGGATTTGCAGGATAAAGAATTCCACTGGTACCCACTGTGCAATTTTCAACCTTCATCTGCAGACTTCAAAAAGGGAAGTTAGATAATGTGATGGTATACAGGCATGTTTGAACAGAAGGCCCTCTGGAGTATGAGCTGAGTTTTCAGTTATAATAAATATTTCTATGCACATTTTTTTTTTGAAAGAGGAAGGCAGTTATGCACTAATGTCCACTCATTCGGCCAAGGTTCTTCAGTACTTGTCAACTCTCCCAATAAAGCCCTAACAACTTGACACCGTGACTGTCAAGATATACTACAAAATATTCATAACCATGCCATTAAAATAAATTGTAGGTCTAACTGCATGTTTTTAAATTGATATTTCATTCATTCTCCATATTACCTAAACACTTTTGCTGCTATGGGTTTCATCTCCAAAAGGCATTTCCCTCTTTTATACAGGTAGACTTTGACTTACAAGCATTGGTTTACAAAGTTACAGCAGCACTGAAAAAAGTGACTTACAACTGGTCCTCGCACTTAAGACCGTGGCAGGATGTCCAGAGTATGTGATTAAAAATTAGGATGTTTGGCGACTGGCATGTATTTATAATGGTTGTCGTGTCCTGGGTTTATTATAGTTTATGTATTATATTTCTAGAAAAAAGGAAAACAGCACAACATTTCTGAATTACAGAATTACAGGTAGTCCTCAACTTACAATGACGATTGAGCCCAAAATTTAGGTTGCTAATTGAGAAATTTGCTGGGCGAGTTTTGCCCCATTTTAAAACTTTTCTTGCCACATTTGTTAAGCGAATCTCTGCAGTTGTTAAATTAGTAACATGGTTGTTAAGTGAATCTGGTTTCCCCATTGAATTTTCTTCTCAGGAGGCTGCAAAAGGTGATCATATGATTCCGGGACACTGCAACCGTCATAAATGTGAGTCGGTTGTCAAGCATCCGAATGTAAATCGGTGATCATGGGGATGCTGTAATGGTCATAAGTGTGAAAAATGGTCATAAGTCACTTTTTTCTGTGCCATTGTAACTTTGAGTGGTCACTAGGTGAATTGTTGCAAGTCAAGGACTAGCTGTACAATTTTTCTCTCTGTATGGGAAGAATGCTCTGTTTAGTTCTTGATAGGAAATTATTCCAGATTTTATGATCCATTATTTCATGCATTTTTTTTTTTACTTAATAGGTATTGTAATTAAAAAAGTCAAAAAAGGAAATAAAAAACAATACTAATAAAAGGACAAGATTAAAAAATATTAAAATTTATAACAATGATATATAAAAAAACCAATATAAGCAATGAGATATTGATGGATAATCAAAATTTCAGATAACCGGCTATTATATCATATTGTTAATATATTCTAATACATTCTTTAAAACCTTAAAATATTATAAGATATTTCATAGTTCATTTATAGTCAAATCATTTTTCTATTGAGCTTTAAGATATTACTATTGCTATCCTTAGTTTCTGATGCTGTAAACAAAAAATTTATGGGAAGGACAGGGCCTGAGCGTAGGGGGTAAAATCCAGCAGGTTCTGGAGAATCAGTAGCGGAAATTTTGAGTAGTTTGGGGAACCGGCAAATACCCCCTCTGACTGGCCCCAGAGTGGGATGGGAATGGAGATTTTGCAGTATCCTTCCCCTGGAGTGGGGTGGGAATGGAGATTTTGCAGTATCCTTCCCCTACCAGCCCACCAAGCCACACCATACCATGCCCACCAAGCCACACCCACAGAACTGGTAGTAAAAAAAATTGCATTTCACCACTGCCTGAGAGGTTGTGTATTGAGTAAAGACTGGACCATACAGATGCTTAGATTTACTGGAAGTCAAGGGTGCTAGAAGACAGAATCTTGCAGGATCTGAATAAAATAAAGTTGAGATGAGGCCTGAATTGGAGATTTATTTAAATGAACTTGCAAAGTCTACGTCTAAAACAGAGATTGCTGTAAAGACTCCATATCGTGTTTCTGTCTACTGAGCAGCAAGTTCAGAGCAATGTATCATAAATAAAAGCATGTGATTTATATTCATGTCAGGATTTGGGAGATAATATTTAATCAGAGAAATATATATTTTGAAGTCTGAAGATAACATATCTGCAAGTGAGCAAGTGAAATATATTTTAATTTATAATACCTCCATCTGACCATGGATGAATACTACATTTGCTACAATATATTGGACTATACAATACTAACAGACAGAAAAAAATATTAAGAAGAATTTACATTGCTGTTGCTAAATTATGTTTAATGGTGTGTTAACACTGTGAAATTACCTTTTTCATATTGTTTTGTAGGACTCCAATACAGTGTTATTTTAATAGAACATTAAAAATGCAAGTATAATTTTATCTTCCTTCAATAACTTTGAAAGCCTTAGCTTTGCAATATTTCTCTCATAAGCAATCCATACCAGTTCATTGGTGCATTGTTCTATCATGCCCTTATGTTATTTTTAGTTGTATCACAGTCTGAACAAAGGAAATTGAATGAGGAGGGTTTGTGTTGCAATATTTTCAGGATCAGACTCAATAAGATCAACAAGAGTTAAAGACTTAACTATATATTCTTTTATTTACATTAGGCATTCTATATTCACTGAATATTCACAGATAGAAGCAAGGGAAAATGGTGTAGGTAGCTCCTTATATATACAATGGGAGGAGCTATATGTGGGAGTGGTGAATTATGCATACATTAAGAAGTAGAGAATAAGTTAACCCCTGATACCCTGTCTGTACACTATTTACACATTGGAGAATAAGGCATTTACATCTGACAAATCCCCCTCTAAATGCCGATTCGTTATACAACACCAGTTACATTCAGATTCAGGACAATACAAAACATACAACTTAGAGGTTAAGTATTTATGCTGTTTAGAAGGTAAAGGCTTTGTTAATATATCAGCTAATTGTTCTGAAGTGTCGCAATGCACTGCTTTAATAAATCCATCCTGAGATAATTGTCTCACATGTTTAAATTTTATATCTATATGTCTGGACCTTTGTCCAATGGCATCAGATCTAGATATTTCAATGGCTGCTTTATTGTCTTCATGCATAACAAAAGGCAGAGCAGGTTTTTTCCAGACATCTGAAATTAAATCATTAAACCATACAAGGTTATTTGCGGCCTTGGATAAACAAACATATTCCGCTTCTGTTGTTGAAGTAGCCACTAGTTCTTGTTTACCAGTGTACCAGTAAACTGGACAGTCATTTAAGAGAAATACATAACCAGATGTGCTTTTTCTGCATGAGGTGTCTCCAGCCCAATCTGCATCAGCATAACACGTAAGCTTTGGTTCTTTAATATCATTAGGTTCTAACATTAAACAAAAGTCTAATGTACTTTTTAAATATCTTAAAATTCTTTTAACAGCTTCCCAGTGGTACATTGTTGGTTTGCTGACATGCCTTGATAACAAATTGAGTGGTAAAGCGATGTCTGGTCTAGTCCAATTAGATATGTAAAGGAGTGAACCTATGATTGATCTATAGAATGTATTGTCCTTGAACTCGGGAGAAGATTCATCAGAATTTCTTAGGAAGTCAGTTTGCATAGGGGTATCACAAGGTTTGGCATTGTTTAAGTTGCATTTATTTAAAAGATCTATGATCTTATCTCTCTGGGTAAGTTTGAATCCCCTTTTTGTCTTATTAATTTGGACACCAAGGTATTTGTTTACCTTGCCTAAAGATTTCAATGAGAAATGTTCATTTAGTTTAGTTACAAAAGTTTCTCTTCTTTCTTTATGTTTTCCTATGTATAAAATGTCATCCACATAAATCAATACAAATTCAACATAATCATCACCCCTCTTGACAAAGAAACAATTATCAGCAGTGGTAGCGTTGAAGTCCATGGTCTTAAGTACTTTTACTAAACAATCATACCACCGTTTACCAGATTGCTTTAGCCCGTATAAACTCTTGTTTAACAACCAAGTCTCATTTCTGTTTGTGTATGGACTATGAGGTGCTCTCACGTATATTTCTTTATCTAATTTTGCGTGTAGGTACGCAGTCTGTATATCGTATTGGAATACATCTAGATTGAGTGCTGAAGCTACCACTAGAGCTGTTTTGACACTCTCTGTTCTTACAGTGGGGGAATACGTGTCAGTATAGTCCTCTGGATATTTCTGTGCATAACCCTGTGCAACCAATCTAGCTTTGTATAGAGTATTTCCTCCCTCTAAATTCTTAATTTTATATATCCATCTGGTACCAATAATTGTCTTATCTTTAGGTGCAGATGCAGGTGTAAATACATTTAGTCCTTGTAAACTATCCATCTCTTTCTTCATTGCTAATTCCCATTTTTCTTTTTCTTCGTGAGGGAGTTTTAACACTTCCTCGTATGTATTGGGTGTTGTTGGTTCACCATTCATGTGCATTACATAATCCTTGTATTTATTTGGCATTTGATTTCTGGTGTTTCTAATGATTTTCTCGGGTTTACTATCGTTATCATGCAAATATCTTGCTTCCTTTTTTGTTAGTGTGTCTGTCTTTATTTTGAGTTGGCTATTTGTCCAAGTTTTGGTTTTGTTCTTATATTTGTTGATATTTTGTTTTTCTATAGTCCCTTTCTCATGAGGTTTTGTATCTTCATGTTTATTTGGGAATATCTCATTAAGATGTAATTTAGACCAGTTAGCTTGTTCATGGAACACAGCTGTTCTGGAGACTATAAATTTGTTGTTACTATCAATGAATCTGTATCCTTTAGTGCCAGTCTCATATCCCATAAATCTGAGTCTCCTGGACACATTTTCTCCCTTTCTTCTTAATTGTTTAGGTATGTGCACGTCTGCTGTGACTCCAAATATATGCATGTGTGCTAATTTTGGTTTTCTATTATACATCACTTCATATGGTGTCTTATTTATAATGCTGGACCATGTTCTATTTTGTGTGTAATTTGAATAATGTAAGGCTTCTGACCAGAATTGTTTGCTTAAGCCAGCATCTTCCAATGTGCATCTAATCATGGTTTGTAATGTGGAATTTTTTCTCTCTGCAATCCCATTTTGGAACGGAGAAAATGGACTAGATGTGTAATGTAACATTCCTTTGTCTTTTAACCATTGTGAGAATTCTTTAGACATGAATTCGCATCCTCTGTCTGTCATAATTTGTTTTATTTTGATGTTGTGTTGTGTTTCTATGCGTTTGTAAAATTCTTTAAATTTTTGAAATGTCTCATCTTTGTGTTTTAATGTGTAAACAAATCCATAGCGGCTATAATCGTCCACTATTGTCAGGAAGTAACGTTTCCTATAAGTGATTGATGGAGTTAATGGACCAACTAAGTCCATGTGTACTAAATCAAAAATTTTGTTAGTTGATCTGGTAGATTTTCTTGGCCTGGGACTAGTTTTTAGTTTTGTAGATTTACATACCGAGCATTCCAGATAATTTTCACAATTTTTTATTTTAACACCTTCTGCGTGTTCAGTCATTTTTTGCACTACAGGAAAACTGGCATGTCCTAACTTCCTATGCAATATGTGAGCACACTCATCATGAATTGGTTTACCTATCTTTGGCTTCTTATTGTTGTCTGCATCTGTGTGATCATGAGATATTTTACATTCATCATTGTCACTGTTGCTAACATTCTCATCATCTATTTCAATACAATCTTCCATATTTGAATCAATGTTATGTAACCATTTTTCTTTTGTTATTAGGTAAGGTAGTCCTCCTTTAGTCACCACAGTGCCTACATTTATTTTATTCTTTTCCAAAGTTGCCTTTCCCTTTGAAAAGACAATGTTAATGTCAGAATCTCTGCTTAGTTTTATGGCACTTAATATGTTATGAGGTATTTCAGGTATTAGTAATACCCCCTCTATTTTTCCTAAACCAGGCAAGGTTACATTTCCTCTACCTAATACTTGAACCTTTTCTTGGTTAGCTACCTTAATTACAAATTTATCTTCTGCAAATGAAGACAATATACTTTTGTTATTAGTGGTGTGATTAGTTGCTCCAGAATCAATAAGCCAATTATTGTTCTCACTTTGTTGTGTGTTAGTGTTGTCTTGTTTATTTAATCCATTCAGTGAACCAGACTTTCTATCCTTTGAATTGTCTCTGCCCCCTCTATTCTCTCTGTGATTTGGTGGGCTCCTATATCTATGCCTTTCTATGGAAGGCTGTCTATAATCGTATTTGTTTCTGTATTCTGATCTATATCTTTCTTTTAATAATTTTGGGCAATCTCTTCTATTGTGTTCCCTGGATCCACAATTATGACATTTAAATGTTCCACTATATTTTTCTTGGAAAGCTACTTTCCTATATGGTTTATGTTCTGTGTGATTGTTAGAACGATTCCTTCTAGAATTATCTTCTGTTATCAATTTGTTAGATAGACTTTCTATGGACAAATACCCTAGATTGATTGTGTCTAAATGTGACATAAAATTGTCCCATGATGGATCAAGTGAGTTGATAATGACACTTTTCATTGTTTGGTCTGAAATCACCTCCCCCCTCAAATGCAGTTCAGCTCTTGTTTTGTTCAAAGATATTAAATGTTCACTTATAGAAACCCCTGGTTTTATCCTAGATGAAAAGAAGTCTTTAGATATCCTTGTGGTGGTAGCTACACTGTCACTGTGAAACAAATTAAACATGCATTGAATAATTTCTGAAACAGTCAAATTTGGCTTAATGCTGTGATACATTGTAGGAGACACACTAGATATTATTAAGAAAAAAGCTCTATGGTGTAAACAATCTATTTTTAGTGTCCACGGTCTTTTTGGGGGACTAGTGATAAAAAACAGTAAGTTTTCCTTCATAAATACAACCTGGAGCTGTTGATACCATTCTTGTAAATTAATGCCATCAACACTTAGTTTTGGGAAGTCACTGGGTAAATTTCCGACATTATTGGGTCCATTACTTACAACCTGAGGTAGTCCGTGGTCTCGTAAATGCAGAAAATTGCAAAACGGCGTGGGGATGCTCGCTACGAGTCTGCATGATCTTCTCTCCTGTCCATGTCTTCCCGGATCGTCAGCGTAGTTTCGCGCATGCGCGTTGCTCATTTCTTCTTCGGCGTCGTCGTGGAAGGTTCTCCTCATTGCGGCTTGCTCGCTCTGCTCTTCTTCAGATGAGTCGGTCTCCGGTTCGACTTTGGGGGTTCTGGCGACGTTGGCTGTTCTTCCTCTTCTATTGAGAGCGTTGGTGCTTGCTTCGGTCTGCGGCGTAGGGCGGTATCGGCAGGGCTCTCTGGGTTCCGGTGTCAGCGTTCTAGTAGTCAGGATGGGAGCGGGCAGGTCTTGAGGCATTGGCTTGCTCGTTCGCTTTTTTGGTGTCTTTTTAGTAATTTTTAATTTTGGCCCAAATGCAGCAAAGAGCGTTTTCATCGCTGATTTTATTTGGTGTTTTGTTGGATCTTCCTCGCTTTCTGGTTCTGATTCTTCTGAGGTGTTTGAATCTTCCTTTTCGTTTTCGTTGTCTGATAATATTTTTCGCGCCAGAAATTTTGAATTGAGCTTGCTGATTGGTTCTGCTTCGTTCATCTTGGAGGCCGGTTGAAACCAAGATGGCCGCCATTCAAATTTTTGCGCGGGATCATCGTTTTTCTTCTTTGTAATGATTTTCTCCGCAGTCATATTACTCACTATTTTTGGATCTTTGGGTTTTTCATTGGTGATGTTTTTCTCTCTCGCTGCTCCGCTGTTCTTCAGCATATCTTGGAGGTTCGCGATGAGGCTTTCATCATTCTTCTGGCTTTTTAATAGTTTTAATATCTCTGACCTGAGTTCGTTATTTTCTATTTCGGTTTCCTCCTGGTCATCAATTATTTCTTCGTCTTCAGTGGTGTATTCTTCGGATTCTCTCGAAATTGCATTCGTGGATTCGTTGATTATTTCTTGTTCCGTTTCCATTTCTTTGCTGTAGGCCCTGGTGTTGGGCCTATCTTTCTTAGACATTTTTAAAGCTTTTTATTGAGTCAATTAACCATCCTCTGCTACCAGTTTGTTGCAATATTTTCAGGATCAGACTCAATAAGATCAACAAGAGTTAAAGACTTAACTATATATTCTTTTATTTACATTAGGCATTCTATATTCACTGAATATTCACAGATAGAAGCAAGGGAAAATGGTGTAGGTAGCTCCTTATATATACAATGGGAGGAGCTATATGTGGGAGTGGTGAATTATGCATACATTAAGAAGTAGAGAATAAGTTAACCCCTGATACCCTGTCTGTACACTATTTACACATTGGAGAATAAGGCATTTACATCTGACAGTTTGGAAACCAAAGACAAACCAAACTAGATTGCAATGCTTCTTTTGATTAATCTTGCTTTGCAAGATTACACAATATTCTTTATTGAGTACCTGCTATTCTTTATTATGAACACAATATTCCTTATTACAAAATCATGATTTTCCATGACCAGTTTATATAATTTTAGTTTCTTTTGATGCCATCTTAATTCAATTTTTTTTCAAAGGAAAAAAGAATAGAGCTTTCATTATTGCAATTTCACTCAAGAACGATATATATATATCTTTCCTGTTCTAGTCATCTATGCTTTTACTATGAACTAGGAATTATGATGGATGTTCTACTGGCATCCAAAACCTAAGAACAGAACCAATGAAAGATTTTAGAGGAAACATAGAGAATATCCAATAAATACTTACCATTGTTGGCTCAAATTCCAATGCAATGGCTCCTAAAGCATTTTCTAGGTTGCCTTTTCTACTGATATCCATAACAAGTGTCTCAGTGGGCTCAGATAGTTTACGAATGTCCCACCACAAAACCTGGCCAAAGAGAAATGCATGTTAATTGCTATTAGATTTCTTAAATTGCCCCATGTTTATGTGGATAGTTTAAATTGAGTCAGCAACAATGTGATTGCATGAGAATTGTTTGCTTACTTTCTATAGGCTGCCAACAACTCTTTTCTGTAGTCTACATTGAATAAATACATATGAGATTTTCTATTGCAATAAATTAGCACAAATAGGTGCCAAAATGGAAATTTTCCAAAAGCAGGAAGAGAAAACATTACGAACTGAGTTTAATATAATTATCTTGAACAAGGGAACTTTCCTTAGGAGATTATAGTACAAAACAACTGAATTATAGTTTAAGGATAGAACAGCTGAAGTACAATTATCCAAAAGCTTCACCTCTGCAATCTAGGAGCTAAATTAAAATAATGCAGAGTTATCACACTGTATATGTCAATTAGTCTTTCATTTCAATACAAGAATATAACAGGATCCATGCTCCCATTGCTGGCAACCAAATGTCAATCTGTTTAATATGTTACTATCTGTTCTTTCTACATTTCATTTTCTTCTGGCCTCATTCATAATCCATCTGGGTGGCAGCAACTAGCTGATCTTGACTGACCTGGAAAAGCTAACTGGGATCAGATCTAGTAGTGTTTGGAGGATGAATCATCAGGAATGCCCAGCTGGACTGGGAAATTGAAAAAAACATGAAAGAAGGCAATAGCTGGTCTATATTGTTGCTAAGAGAATGACACGAACTAATTCATGTGGTCACCAGGAAATAAGCTCAGCTTGAGGGAAGGTTTATCTCTCACTCTTCACAATTTTCTCCATCCCTCATACATTCTGTTGTCTGTATCTATAAATAAATCAGTCTGCAATCTGTGAGAGCTCCTTGCATCTATAAAAACTGACCTTACAAATGCTTGTGCTACTGTTTGTTCATCTGTATAGGGTCACTTTTTGGTTACAGTAGATTAGCATGGGTATCTAAGCTTTAAAAGAAAGAGCAGAGATTCTTCAACTTTATTTAGTTCTATATCAAAAGCTGGAAGAAGGATAAATGAAGAACCAGTCTTCAGTCTGCCATTTTATATCTTCCTTGGTTGCTTTGAATTATTTGCTAGTAAAAAGGATTTCCAACTCACATATCCTTATGGCATGGCATGGCATTTCAGACTATCAGAAAACTAACAATTTGAAGTAACTTGCATTCTACAAATAGAGTCTATCTAGATTATTTAGTATGATCAATGTCCACTACACATATTAGAACAACAGTCTGCTGCTTTTTTCATGATATCAACAGCTATAACAACCATTCTAGCAACAGTTTCTCTGATTGGATTAAAGCAAAATTTGAAAATATGTTTTTAGCCGTTACCTGAAAAGATTAATAGTTTTTGCGGATGGTGGCTCTTCGGTAACTGCTGCTGTCTCCTCCTCCTCAAAATACTCCTCATAGATATTGATGGCATTGTTCTGTTTGATGCAGTGATCCATCAACTATTTTAATAAAGCAACAGAATCAATCCATGAATGACCGTGTAATTATTTGGTAAATGTAACAGGAACAAAGATGGAAAGAAGAAAAAATAAAAAAGACAATACTCAAGTTTTTTTTTTTAAATAGACCAATACATAACTAAATAGAATCAAAGATGCTTACACTGCCAAGCTGTGTAATGACATTGATATAATTCTCATCCTTTTCCACTTTTTTCCGGAAACGAATGGTCTGCTCCATTTCTAGTGGGTTGACATCTTTAGGCCAGCCACCTTCCAAGTGGTTAATACCTCGGGTTTCCATTTCAAATCTTTCTGTGTTAACCTAATTCGGAAGAAAGTCAAAGCTATCTTTGGATTGGGGTTATTTGTTTTTTATATTTCATCATGAAAAGCTTCAGGCCTAAAACTATTATCAATGGTGTTAGTTAACACCACTGACATATTGTATATCACTAGTACTTTTGCTTGCTTTTTGAAGTATACACATACAGCAAAGCTTTACAGAGATAGTTATAAATGTTGCAGCACGTAGAACATCTTGATGGCTCATTGGATTTTCCATGCATCATACCTGGAGAAGGAACAGCAGTATATAAAGAATGCATTATTAAATATGTGAAAATATTAGATACAACCATACAGCACATTGCAAAAATATAAAAACATCTGTTTACCAATGATTATCAAAACTGCATTTCATCTTACTTTATACTTACTATTATACATACTAATATTCTATAGGCAGGTTTGTACCCAGAAATGGCTGCTTTTTTTTGGAACCTGACCTTCCAAAATATTGTACGGAAACTGTTTACAGAGACTTTCGCATGATGTGTGTCAATAAAGATTATTTCTATAATTTCCTGAGATTCCTTAATAAGATCTGGCACAATTTAGTATATAAAAACCAAGTATGTATTCAGCTACAGAACTAGGGGTTCTCTCCAGAGATACTGTATGTGATATACATGGCTATGAACAGCCACATGAATGAAAGGAATCTAATGAAGAAAACAAATCAACAGTTCTTCCAAGTAAGCGTGTACCTGCATGATGGTAAGGATTATAGCTTTTGTAAGAGAAATTTTATTTGTGTTTCTCTGTGGTATAGTATTTGTGTATAGTATTAATGAGCTGGTTAGGTCTATGATCAGACCAGAATCATCTTGCTTCTCAGTTTTAGTAGCTTCATAATGCATTAAAGTCCTGCGTTATGTACATTTGAAAATGGAATATGGGACAACACAACATAAGGGACAACACAAAAACTCCTCTCATCTTTAAATGCCATGAAACCATAGTCAGCTCTAAGAATTTACATGGTAAGGACTGAAAATTCCAACTTTGACTGGATTTAATCTTTTCTATGACTGCATAAAGTTTAATGATATGAAAATAAATCTTGCACTTGCTTCCCTATTTTTTCTGTTATAGATGCACAGTATACAATGATTGTGCTTAACTATTAATGCTAAAACAGAAAATACAAAAGCAATGAAAACGTATGTGATTGCTTTTGTTCAAACTTGGGATGATAATGTAGTTTTTTTGTGGTAACGTATTAGCATGTGAAACCGCAATTGTTTAAAGGCTATAGAGGGGACAATATATTTTTTCTTAATTATTGTAGTTCAAGCCACAGTGATCTTAAGAGGAACTCATCTATATTTTAGAGAGAAAACAAAGCAGTTTGGTCTTGTAGTGGTTAAGGAATGAGGCTAGGAGGCTGTGAATTCTATTCTTGCCCTAGACCAGAGGTGTCAAGCTCAATTTCATTGAGGGCCGCATCAGGGTTGTGTTTGACCTCAGGTGGGGGTGGAGGCATAGGTAGGGTGGGTGTGGCCAGCTCGATGTCACTCATGTCGGGGGTGCCTGTGGCAGCCCAAGCGCTCTGCCAGCAAAAATGGACCATGGGAGGTTTTTGCTGCCAGAGGGCTGCAGAAGGCCAAGGCAGTTGAAAACGGAGCTTGGAAGGGCTGTGTGCGGTCTCCCAAGCTCCATTTTCACTGGCAGAGGCACCGCGGACCGGTCCTTCGCTGTTTTCAGTGCAGCCCCATGGGCCAGATCTAAGCACCCCGCAGGCTGAATCTGGCCTGCGGGCCTTGAGTTTGACACCCCTGCCCTAGACTTTGAAAGCCAATTGGGTGACTTTGGGCCAGTTACTCTCTCAGCCCAACCCACCTCCCAGGGGTTGTTGTTGTGGAGAAAATAGGAGAAAGAAAGAGTATTAGGTATGTTCACTACCTTGAGTTATTATAAAAATAATCAAGGTGGATAAAATAAATAATTTCCATATTATGGGTGCCTGTTCATATATAGCAGATAAATTCAGCAAATGAAGCTCTTCTCAGTTCTGTGTTAGAATAAGCTACATATTGTGAATCTATTTTGACCTAAAAGATATTCTTAGTGATTGTAAAGGGGGCAAAATCCAGCAGATAATGCTGGAGAGGACAAGTATATCTACTGAAAGAAGCAACTCCTTGACTTTCTCATCTTTTCTCTTTTCTATAGCTTCAAACTTTCTCAAATAGATCTTTCTCATCTTCACAGGTTGTTTCTTATAGGAATAATAACCACAACACTTATGGTAACAGTTACTTGAGGGAGGAAGAATTTATGAGGTTGCTGTTTTTGAGGGTAGCCATATGGCTTCCTTATCATTGAGTTCCAGTCTAGATATTACATCATTCCCATTCTTCCTGATATCTTCACCTGGAAAAGTGTTTCTACATGAAAACTGATTCTCCAAATGGACGCTTCTACATATGTGGAACATCACTCTTACAATTCCATCCTACAATTAGTCTACAATATCTGGAAATTATGGAAAACCATAATATCTGGAAAGTGCCTAGATAGGGCTAATCGAAGGTATTAAATTACCTGTACATTTATATCAGTTGGAAGGTGGATGAAAAACACATATTTCTGGATGATAATGTTGCAAAATGTTGCTATTTATTAAGAAGCCTAATAAAGGATTAGAATTTTCTGGTCCTGTCCTTTGAATAATCCTTTTGTTTAAAAAAAACAACAAAAAGTCACATTGTACTGTTGGCAGAGTTTACAATACATAAAGATCACCTTTTTACATGGAGAAAATCTATCTATGTGGTCACTCGGAATGGAAAACAACTCAATAGGATATAATCAATCAATTTTACATGCATGGCTGAACAACAACCTTATATTTCTTGCTTATACAAATTATGCATGCGAGATTAGCCACGGATCTTGTCAGATGATTTCTTTTGAAACAGAAACTAATATACTGTAGAAGTTACTCATTCAAGATCAAGCAATTTACCTCATGTTCTGACATGTCATGAGCACATTGCACTCCAGTATCAATGGGGTCTCTTTCAATAAAATTTGTTGCTAACACTGGATCTGGCTGAATGTCCACGTTGATCTCTGCTGCCCGATCGGAAAAGTTGCATTGTCGACCAAATTCACTGCGCTTCTTCAAATAAACATAGACAATCTCCATGCTGCTCACTTCAAACAAAAGAAAAGAGTTAAACTGTTTTTCTGGTATTACTTGGAGAATTTTCTGCCCCCAAATTTGTCAATTACTAAGGTACATGAAGCTTGGCTTCAGGTTATGGTAAAAGCTGGATCAGATATGAGGGAGAGCAGTATAGCGTGTTATCTTTACTATTTTTGTGAAACTATTTGAAATGATCATAACACTACTCTGAGCATCTTCATCCAAGACAACATTTCTGATAAAGGAACTTCACATTTCTTCAGCAGTCAAACTACACTATTTTGTTACTAGGAAACAGCTGGAGAACCAATTAATCTAGCAATTTCCAAGGGAAAGAGTAAGTTATTTGTAGGCATCACCTGGATAATGATTATGACTTCATTGGCAAATAATGATGCAATATCTTTAAAGATGTTCCTTGAATACTTACTTACAAGAGTACAGTACTCTTGGGCAATTAAGAATTTTGATAGCAGCTGAGCAAGTGTATTTTTTAGTCTAATATAAAAAAGAGGCAGAGCAGAAATAGCTAAAGCAAGTAAATCTCCTAATATTCTTATCTTTCAATGAGATAACAAATGCAGTATACAATATGGCAGAACTTGGGGGCAGAGTGAAAAGGGGGATCAGCCTAGAATTCCTATGTAGCCACAAGTGAACTAAGCCCAACCCCCTCCTCCCAGTGCTATTGACCCTTATCTATCTCTAACCAGATGCTGATTGTTAGTTGAGAAGATTCCCATGCATAAGTTTTTAGCAAGAAATCAGCTATTGCACCTACAGTGCATGCATGGACCTGGTCTTTTGCACCTGACAACGAAAAAAGAAACAATGAAAAGGAATAATGCTTTTTTGTCTTGGAGAAGAGCAAATCAGGCTAAAAGTCCTGGAAAGAAAAGTTTCAAATTTGGACAGGTTTCTTAAAACAAAGCTTTTCAGAGAGGGTCACTAGTTTTCCTGTTAGTAATGGCAACAACCTACTTTGGAACTGTTACCAAAATAATTTTATGGATGTGTCCATAATCCAGGAGGAAAATAAACTTGAAGATTTATTATAGTTATACTACCCAGTTATTAAAACTTCCACAATCTCCTGTTCATTATACCATAACTTTTGGTGGATCACTTCATGGGATGAAAGTCCATTACTACATGTGACAGACTGATCTTCAGAAGATTATGTCATAGTAAAAGTGTTAATATTTAAAAAGCCATAATATTGTACTTGGGTACTGAAATCTGTTGTCTAGTTGATACAAACATTGTAGTGTATAGGATACAAAGCTAAACAATACTTTAAAAAATGCTTCTTGAGATGTGTTATTCAAAAAGTCTAACTTCAAAGACCTATGACATATAAGTTAAAATTCTTGAAGTTCTGGAATTATTTTGTCAGAATAATTATTTCATATATATCATGCTCAGCAGTGGATAAACTTTAAAAATGAAATATAAAAATGAAATATAGAAATATAGAAATAAAACATCATAAAAATTATGTCTATAAACGTAGTTTAGTACATCAAATTCATAATAATTCTCAAATACTCTGAGGAAGAAATACTTTATCATTATCTGAGTGCAACCTCCCAAGTAAAAGAAAAAAAGATAAACATTATATGGATGTGTGTGTATACTGTGTATGTGTATATATATATATGCTGTGTGTAAGTGTGTATGTGTGTATGCATGTATGCATGCATGTATGTTTGTACGTACATAGATAGAAAGCAAGTAAATACTGTATTTTAAAAGTTATGATGTGACTAAATAATAAAGTCAGCCCAGGCTACTTCTTGTATGTCATCTGAAAACATGGAAACCACAAAACAAGAGGATCTCTTTTTGCTTGATATGAAGTGAATAATTTACAGGTTGTTTTTCTACCCCTTCTCATATGATTGGGATGATCTATATGAAACCTTCTTTCAGGTATCATGCTCTCAAAATGTTTAATACTTGTAACTTAATGCCAATGTCAGATAGATGCCTTGGGAAATATACAAAATGGAAATGATGCAATGGCTCTGTTTTTGTTCACCAGCATCTGATATTGTGAGGCATAATTGCCTCAGCACGAAGTTCCAGTCATGATTCATATACATATTGTAGTAGGTAATAAAAGCTATTTTGAATTTGGGGTATTTGGTGAGCAATTCTGATAAAAGAACAGCAGAACAAGAAATGGAAGGATTAAGAGAATTGGTCCTGGAAAAAAATGACTGAAGGCTACTGAAGAAAAAAAAAAAAATCAAGAGAGCAGACATATGATTTGTTGGGGTCCCCCCCCCCAGAATTTCAATTATTATAATTGTTAAATGCCTGACTCAATTTTGAGATGGGCAACTATATGAATCATATATATTTCTTTAGTTCCTGAGCTTCCTGTATTGTTTTTCTTAATTATTGTGGGTACTATAGGATACTGTCATGATGCAATGATTTTGAATCTATAGCTAATGTGAATAAAAAATAAATAAATCTTACAAGATCAAATCTAGATGGGCCACCGGGATCAGAGGTTTACTCTTCCATAAATCTTAATTTGATATTAAGGCTCCCTTGAAACTGAATTCTAGTTATTTTGTTTGTTGGAGGCTAGAGTTTATCCTTGAAAGATAAACTTTATCCTTAAAGGATAAAGTATCGGATAAAAAGAGTATCCCCTAAGTGTCTATGGAGATTCACAGGAAAACTGGAATCAGCATCCTGGGATCAGGAACAAGATCTGATCCTGGAGATCATCCCAGCTAGCAAAAACCCTGGAAGGAGGGGGGGGGGGTTTTTTTTCGCGCGGGGCGGTTCGAGAAAGAAACCCAGTGGGAGAGGTAGCGGGGAGGTAGGAGCGTCTTCCCTTCTCCTCCGGGATCAAACCCTCCATCAAACTCCCGCCACCCCGGTTCCCGCCTCCTTACCCCGCTCTTCTCCCAGACAGTCCAATATTCCACCTTGGGGAGGCAAGCGTTTACTCGTCTCCTAGCAACGGGTCCTTGGTGTCACGTGACAGCGACAATTCACTTTCCTTAGAAGCCGGGAGAAACCATCTGCGAAGCCTACTGGGGGGGGGGGGGGAGGGGGGGAGGAATGAACGAAGCGGAAGAGAAACAAGACATGACACCCCTTCCCCTCTTAAAATATGGCCATCGAGAGAATAGATTCCCAGATTCGATAGGCAAGAAGTATGTCTTCTGAGTAAGTGCAGAGTGCGTTAGCGCTGTATAGCCCAGGCTCTTAGAGCAGAGAATGGGAAAATGCCCAATCGGACAGATATTTTGTAGCATTACCTTAAGTTTAGTGCCCAGGCTTATCCCAAATATTAGGACGACCACCAGTGTACAGGCTTTTTGTCTCACTTCCTTTTTTTGCCTTTGCCCGAATTCAGTGGAGGATTAAGGCTCCCTGGTGCGCTAAGCACTGACAAATCTTGGTGCTTCCTTTCCTTTGTACATACTGTACAAACTTCATTGGTTGTTTTTTTTTTCCTTTCTCAACTTTGTGGTGCCCTCTTTGGGTGTGGTGCCCTAAGCACATGCTTAGTCTGCTTAATGGTTTATACACCACTGCCCAAATTATTGCAGCCTTGTTTTTTTCATTACGTGTTTTATTCTTGTCTCCTTCCGTCACACAGAAGTATGGAAGGGAAAAATGATGCCCAACCAAGCGGTGGCAGAAGAGAGAACAATGCTGTGCAGAACTCACGATTAGCACAATCCTCCCACCTTTACAAAATTTATTAAGAACGGAAACCGTCAGGTTTCTTCGAGCCTCAGCAAATGGAACAAATCGCTGAGTCTGATTATTTCGTCTCATGCTGCAGTTCCCCTTGAATTTTTTTTTGTAGAATGACAACTTTTGACAACTTAAGCAGTGGAGTGCCACTTAAGAGGGCATCATACGTGGACTGTTCTCTGTAGAAAGAGCCATTTCTGAAATAACTACTATTTGCAACAGAAGAGAATGTCAGTAACTCAGGGTTGAAATGCTTTGGTGCTCTCTGAACTTGGTAGCTTGCAGATGTTTTGCTACCCAACTAGCTAACATCATCAGTTCCTGAGTGCAGGACTAGCATTGATGATGTTACCTAGTTGGATAATGAAGCAAACAGGCAAACGATCAAGCTCAAAGGGCACTAATGACTCAACAACCTTATATATTCTTTTCTGTATATTGTTCTGGTACAAACCAAAATGTCATTGCATTCTTATGCAATGCTGTTGACAACTGCATTTGTTGCAGGATTGTGTGTGTGTGTTTGTTTTGTGATATGATCTGGTTGCAGGTGTACGTAAACAGTCATCAAATCTTGTGAACAATTAGTATCACTGTTGGAATGGACTACAGTTTATTACTGATCACTGATAATTAACAGATCACTGATAATCACCTTTTTTCAAGAGTCTTTATTTTTATTTATTTATTTTATTTATTAGATTTCTATACCGCCCTACTCCCGAAGGACTCAGGGCGGTGCACAGCCAAACAATAAAAACACATACAATACAAAATTTAAAAAATAGAATAAAATCAAATTAAATAATTTTGGCCCCGACAAATTTAAAACCCCACACTTTTAAAACCAATTTAAAATTGAATATATAAATACTAAAAGATATTTAAAATTTTAAAAATCTTTTATAAAAGAGGGGGAAAATTAGGCCAGGCCGGCCTGGTGAAATAGTAAGGTCTTTAAGGCGCGGCGGAAGGTGCGCAGATCCGGGATCCTCTGTATCTCTGGGGGAGCTCGTTCCAGATAATAGGTGCCCCCACAGAGAAGGCTCTCCCCCTGGGGGCCGCCAGTCGGCATTGTTACCTGTCCAACCAGGTAAAGACTCTTGAAAAAAGGTGATTATCAGCATGCTATGAATCCTGTCAGGCCAAAGAATGTCAGGTGGCTGTGACCAGAAGACAAGCTTTTTCAGCAATGGCTCCTGCTCTATGGAATATCTTCCCTTCGGATATCAGAACGGCCCCAACTCTGTTAGCTTTTCGTAAGGCCTTAAAAACCTGGTTACGTTTCCATGCCCCAGGTGCTAAATGTGCCAAAGGCCCCATTTCCTGCCTATATTACTAATTGGCCAAGTGCTCTGCTCTTATAGCAATAGCACTTAGACTTATATACCACTTCACAGTGCTTTACAGCTCTCTAAGCAGTTTACAGAGTCAGCATATTGCCCCCAACAATCTGGCTCCTCATTTTATCGGCCTCAGAAGGATGGAAGTCTGAGTCAACCTTGAGCCAGTCAGAATCGAACTCCTGGAGTGAGCAGTGAGTTAGCCTGCATTCTAAGCACTGTGCCGCCACAGGTCTTTTATGTATATTTCATTTAGATGTTTGTAGTGTTTTATTGGTTTAGTGTTTTTATAGTTTTAAAATGTTTTAATATTTTTAATTGTAATGTATTTTTTGAATTGTAAGCCATTCACAGACAAAATCTATCCTCTTGCAACCTCCAAACAAAGTTGCTCCATTAAATTCATTCAATTTCTATGGTTGCCCATTTCACTGACTGAAATGGGCAGCCATAAAAATTGAATGAATTTATTGGAGTAGCTTTGTTTGGAGGGTTGCAAGGGAATAGATGTTGTGTGTCATGACAGAATCAGTGGGTGGAAAATGTGCAAAGCTAATAAACGAAATGAAAATTCTGGTTGGGAACTTGACATTTGTGAAATTAGTTTTATTCCCGAAATGTTTCATTACCAAAGTAGAGAACATTGACAATGCCTTGACATTGACTTTTGAATTATATGACCTAGTAGACTGTCATCTCAACCTTCATCACCCCAAGATTTGACTCGCCCTGACCTTGCTAGTTTTTATTTTTAAGAAGGCTTTGAAGACGTGGCTGATCTTTTGGGTGCTGGGCTAGGATGCTCAATGAGCTTTTCCTGCAAGGTGTAGTATATGTTGTGATTTTGATTTTTTTTTAAAAATGTGCATATTGCAATTCTGTTGTTATTGTTGTATGAATAATATGGGCGCAAAGAGCCAGCAGAGAATTATGGCAGAGAACTTGTGAGAGATTTAGATGGAAAATTTATTCTTGACTGGTATTCTTTTTACTGCTTTTTGTTCAAAGTAAAACAAAGGGTTTAAACATCCCTTGATTAGTGTTGTCATTAGCACTATTGTGTATTGTTATTTCCTTACACAATTGCTTTCCAAACCACATTCCCATGGCCTCCATCTCTGGAAAAAGAATCACATTAATTGAGGTTTGAATCCTGGAAAATTTTTAATTATGTTAAACTCAAGTCAGAGATGCCTGGATTCCAAACAGCAAATCTCTATTATTTGAAAATACCGGTTGGTGTAATTTCAATAGGTACAGAAATTAAGCCTGAGTCTCTTTTTAGGGCTTCACATATACAACTTGTATCTTGATTTTATTACAAACTCTGGGCAAGGAATGTTTTTGGACGTTGGAAAACATAATTTTGCTTTGGCATCAGCTTAAACAATGCAACATCAAAAAGCTGCTTCTCTGTATTTCATACTCCTTAGATCTGTTGTGTATAATGTGTATAAAGCGCTATGTTCTTGCTGTGAGCTCAAAGCCCAAACGGGTGGAAATGCAGCCCCAAGGCTTTACTATTGTGGATATTCTGGTACAAGTTATAAACACTGAGACGTCCTTATTTAATGCCAGAATAGCTTTTACAGTCAGGGGAAACTTGTCTTTCAGATTGAAGCATCTGCTTAAAAGCCCATTGTTCCAAAAATAACAACAGTGACTCGTTTGCTTATCTCCAAGTACAGTACAGGTAGTCCATAATTGAGCCCAAAATTTCTGCTGCAAAGTGAGACATTTGTTAAGTGAGTTTTACCCCATTTTATAACTTGGCATGGTTGTTAATCTCAGCAGTTCCTAAATTAGTAACATGGTTATTAAAAGAAGCTGGTTTCCCCATTGACTTAGCTTGTCAGAAGTTGCAAAAGGTGATCACATGACCCCAAGACACTGCAACCGTCACAAATATGAGTCAGCTGCCAAGCGTCTGAATTTTGATCACATGCAGCATGGGGATGCTGCAACAGTTGTGTGAAAAAGTCACTTTTTTCAGCGCCATTGTAATTTTGAACAGTTTAGATTAAAAAGAGTCTGATTGTTATCTGGAAAGCTAGTGTATTTGTAGGTTACCTTTCTTGGAGATCAACAGTTATGTACTTTCACTGCCTGGAATATTTTGGTCCAGGGAAAACTGTGTCAAGTGATTGTGTCAGTTAGCATCATCACAATACCCTAACCCCCATCATTGGCTGGGCTGTATACAGTATAAACAATATGTATACAGTATACAGTATAAACAATAAACCCCACACTCAACAGCACAGATGATGTTACCTAATTGGGTAATGAAATGTATGCAAGCAAACAACCAAGGATTCCATCAATACATCAAAAAGGTCAGTTGATGTAGTAGGGGTTTGCCGTCATCAAGAAACTAATCACATATTGTCCATTTTGGACAAAGCTAGATGATAGACTACACATACACATTATGCTTTTAGCAACAATTATTGGACCTCACAGTCAGGACAAAAGCTGTATAGGAACTTTTTTTCACCCCTTTCCCCACTGTACAAAAGATATGTTTAACTCCCACATCTCATTTCAGTTGGGGAAAGGAAATTTTTTGTTTAAAAAAAGAAGTTAAGTACAATAAGTAATGCCAGGTTGCTTTAAGAAAAGAGAACTGGAGTCCATTTTGAAAGTGTAACACTTGACGCTCTTGGAGAGCCAAATTAAGACACAGTTAATTGCTTCAATCTTCAATCTTAGGAAGGTGGGTATGAAGGTCATGATGTATAATTCAGTTATTTCCAATTTGAGATTTACGGTAAATTTTGCTGTTCACTGTAAATTTTCTTATAAAAGAACAGAATAATTCTAATGTTCTATTGTCACCAAAGAATATTATGATATTAAATTGAGAGTCTGAAAGACAATTAAGACTTACTGATTGTTAATTTATGCTCACTGTAGTTTTAAACTACTGTTTAGCATACTATTTTCCAAATCAAGGCAAGTCTTTTTTTGGTAGGCCTTGATTACAGTATAAATTACACACACTGCAGATATCTTCTTAAGAAGCATCTGCTCTGCTTATATATGCTTGCATTTTCAGGTTTCTTTCAGTTTTATAACACCATATACCATACTACTATTTTATTTAATAACATAATTAAAATAATGCGTGAACCTATTAATAGTGTGTCTTTTTTATTTTTGCCATCTGTAGTACTTAAAGTACATCTAATAATAACTAATCCCAAACACAAAGCTTTACATTGAAAACAACTGAAATCAAACTAAACTAAAAAAAAAACAGGAAAATGAAACTCATATTTTAGTATGTGTTTATTATCAGTTTCCCAGTCAGTACATATAAATCAGGCACAGCTTTGAAGTAGCCTGTGATAGTTAATTCACATGCATTTTTTTTGTTTGTTGAAAAAAAACAATTGTAGTTATCAATAGCATTACTCATAGCATAAAATTAAGATTCTCTTCTCCCTCTGCCTTAAAAATGTATCCAATTACATATAAGATGGATATATAAATTATGTTGCTGTACGTGATAGGTACAAGTTATCCTTGATAGAAAGACACAGTATGTAATTGTTGTCAAGTAATTAAAAATCTTCATGTCACATTATGCATCTTGGAGGGCAGCTCTCTACCTTTACAGTTGTTGTCAGTGGCAATTTTGAACAATGTGCAAATTGTCCAAATATTATATTGAGACCACTGGTAACGCGCATTTTCAGCATCCTGTGAAGATATTCTGAGTTCTTTGTACTTAGTTGAGGAAACCCACCTGTTTTATGTTTCCAAGAGAGTGCTCACATATTATTTTCACTTCCAACTGTGCCTAAGTAGAAAAAGATAAGCTAACTCATTTGGGAAAATTTAGCATAACCCAAGAAAATGTAATTTGTTAACTGTAAAAGGAGTTGCTTTTGGCAAAAGTTGAACAGACCTCTAAGAGGCTTTGATTCTTCAATTTGATATTCTGTACTTTGATTTCCTTCCTTCAGTGCTTCTCATCTCCTTGGAATCCCTCCTGTCCAAATGTTACTATTTCTTTTACTTTCTCTCTCCAATAGTAGATAACAAGAATCTGATTCTGTTTCAGAAAAGCCCACAAGATCTTTGTTACCTGAGGGAATGATATGACGGTATCTCCTGCCCGTGATTGCTCATACAAATGATGACTAGACTGGAAAAGAAATCTTAACACTGGTAGTTGAAAATGGCTGCTGAGACAAAGGACAGACTGCCTGGCACTGTTTTAACCTCCAACACTTTGTCATTGCTCATCTCCTGGTGGCTGAGATAAAATGAGAGCCAGCAGTTCTCAGGACAGATATGTCAACAACTGTTCTACTTCAAGGACATGAAGAGCAGGATAAAAAGCAGTGGGAAGGGCAGAAAGAACAGCAGTGGCTATGAGAAGGAAACTACACTCTCACAGTGACAGAGGGAAACTGACTGCTTATAGCAGTCTGGGTTCAGTTTAGTTTGCAAGGAAGAATCTTAAAAAAATTAGATTGAGTATCCAAAAGACTTCTGCTGAGTTTAGGACTGACTAGCAGTCCTGTCAAGCTGTGTGAAACTGGGGACTTCTCTTTAGTCTTGAACTGGGGAACCTGAAACTTGACTCACTTTGCCCAGTGATAGGACTTGCCCTTACAAGACACAAATGTGTGCAAGTAACAATGGAAGTTATGAACAATTCCTAATTTCAGTTAATTTCAGATATTACAGTTCTTTCATGGATGGAGAAAGCAAGACATTATTCGGAAGAAACTGTACTGTCCTTTTCAACACTACCTGCGTATTAGAGTAGCCAATCCAGCCCAATCCAAAGTTCCCTGGTATTTTTTTATTTCCTCACAAAGTAAGAAAAATGTATTTTGGAATATGTCAGCATTTGCCACACAAATACATTATCTTGGAAGGTTAATTTTTGCCTTTACTTTTAATTCCCTTTGGGGGGGGGGAGGGGGAATCAGTGCCAAAATCAGAAGTTGGCTTGCAAAGTACATAAAAAAGGTGTAATTATTAATAACAGAAAACTATAAAAACAGACACAAAAATTATGTTCTTTGGGTAGCTAATATAAAACATAGACTAAAAAAAATAGCAAACCAAATGAAGTATGTAATAGAACAAAAAAGGCATTTATTCTAAATAATACCTGAGGCCACCACAACAGGAGTTGGTGAAGTTCATGTCAGTTCTTGATGCAAAAGAGTGAGTGACAAGTGGTAATATTGTGCATGGATTTTTTTATCATAAAATACCAAACAGGTTCTATCAAAAAGGATGATGGATGATACACTGCCAAGCCAACAGTAAGTTCTGTGCAGAGGCCTCGTCAGAGGACACTAAAAATTCACTCTTCTGTCAGCATTGCATGTGATTCAGGAGTGAGGCGTATCTTCTTTCATGGCAATCTCCTGCCCCATTTCTCTGAGGTTAGCATTATACACCATGTGTCAAGTATTCTCTTTACTTGTACAGTGTACTGGTCTTATTATCTGCCCTAATAAAACAAAAAGGAAGACAGAACCGCCCTATCAGAGATGAACAAAACTGCCCCGAAGTTGGTGCAGAAGAAAAGGAAACAGGACCTATAGCATTAATTGCAAACCCATGGCAGGCCTTATTCTAATTTCACATCTCCCTGCTTCTCCAATATAACAGAACAAAGTTTGTTATAAAGCAGTAGTGACAGGAACTGAGCAAGAAATCAATAGACCTCTAACCCTTAGCTCATTGGATGGAGGATCCGGGTACCATCCTGGGTCTGCAACGGAGGAAGACGTAATATTGGAAGAAGAAAAGCTGCCAATCAAGCACACAGGATAATCCTTGAAGAGTACCTGGATTGCCAGCAGGAGTTTTCTTCAGGCTGATCTGTTTTCAACACCTTTGAACACCTGACCGGTTTGCTAGGGAAGCAATCTTATTCCCAACAGTCTATGTGCCTTCAGTTATTATTGGGTTTCACTATAGCATCGTGGGTGGTTTCTTCTCTACGATCTGAGTGCTAGGCTGGAAATTCGTTGCTAGGCTGTCGCCGGAAATCATCATTAACCGCAAGATAGGTGGCTCGCATACTTGGAGAATACTAGGCAGAGGAGAGAAAACGGGAGAGAAGTTATACGTTGTGATTTCAATGACAAGTTTAGGATTTTACTGATAGAAACTACAGAAAAAAAAAAACTAAGATTCCTTCTAAAGTCTCACAGATGAAATACTAGCTCTACAGAACCAGCCAGTAATTATTTGTACCATCAGGAACAGAAGAACATGCTTGACCATTAGCAGCAGAGGTGGAGTGGGATGAAATGACAACAGAAAGGCAACTAGAAAGCAAATGTTGGTAAGACCTTGTGATCTTGTGATTCCAATGAGAATCTTGTGATTCCAATGAGAAACTGGGATAGGCATCCAGCTGCTATTCTCCACTACTGGGATACAGCAGTAATGGAGAAAAGGAGAATCTTTCACAGGAAAGTTGTGAGTTGATTACACAAACACCAACAGCAAAGTATATATTAGACAAGTATTGAGCTTTGTACTTTTAAAAATTCAACAGAAAATGTAAAAAAAATTCTTTTCCATCAGAGATACAGAATATAGAAGGGACCTTGGCGGTGTTCTAGTCTAGCCCCCTGCCCAAGCAGGAGACCCTATACCATTCTGGACAAACGGCCATCCAATTTCTTCTCAAAAACTTCCAGTGATGGAGCATCCACAAATTCTGAAGGCAAGCCTTGAAGGAGTTAGAAACAGAATAACAGAATTGGAAGGGGCTTTAGAGGTCTTCTAGTCCAACCCCCTGCTCAAGCAGGAGACCTTATACCATTTCAGGTCATCTCCAGTCCCATTATCAAGAAAAGCCTTTAGAGAAGATGACAGAATTAAGTTAACTTCTTTTCCCTATTAATTTCCCTATTTCGGTACTACCTCTAAGGAGTAGAGGTAAGAGTTGGGTTTATTAATACAGACAACCCAAAAAGTGATAGGAACCAAATGGGATCACAAATTTCTAGCATACTGGAAATATAGCGCTAAGGAACAACTAGTGTGCCTATATACACACACTTTTCCTAATCGTATCAGTGACCCATAATAAAATTAGAGAACGAACACCTTTCCTAAATCAGTATTCTTCAAATGAGTTGGAATTACAATATGTAGAAACTCCCCCCCCCCCCATTGCTGTACACAACTCACTGTTGCCAATGCGCCATGGGCAATTCACTGCAGCCAGATCGCCACGGGACAACTCATCATGGGACAATTCAACAATTTTATTTCATTATTTAAAATAATTTAAAACTTTTGCCCTGAAGCAAGTTGGCCCGCAGCAAGTTGGCCATGGCGAATTGTCCCATGGCAAGTTGACCATGGTGAGTTGGCCATGGTGAGTTGGCTGTAGTGAGTTGTCTTAAACCAGGGGTCCCCAAACTTGGCAGCTTTAAGACTTGTGGACTTCAACTTCCAGAATTCTCCAGCCAGCATAGCTGGCTGGCTGGAGAATTCTGGGAGTTGAAGTCCACAAGTCTTAAAGCTGCCAAGTTTGAAGACCCTCTGTCTTAGACCTTTGCTGTAGCTTCAGGATATCTGGGAGACATTAAATTAGAGAATGCAGGCCTGGAAAATATAATTGGTAAATATGAGTGAAAGAATTTATTATGAGAAAGTTGTCTTTCCAGTCACAGAAAATTATTCACAGACTACTTTTCTGGAACAGAATAAAACTTGAAAGTGTTTCCTTAAGGCATTTAAATCTTATTCAATTTGGACTACTTCTATATGGAAAAGAGCTACATTTAATTTTACCATCAGCTTTGAGGTTTTTGCAATAGCAAATATCTGCAACACTGAGATTAAAGCCTCCAAAAACTGGCACAGCCCCAACTTTTAAATGCCCAAATTAGAAATAGTTCCTTGAATATTTAAACAACTGTTAGGCTTGAAAATGGATTGTGGCAGCTTGTAATGCAAATATCAACTAGTCTTCCTGATCATTCATCAAGCAGGCAGCCTCTCTACATATGCTTTCCATCTTTCAGGTAGATTGATATTAATTTTAATAATTCACATCACAGGGCATTTACTCCATGAAGCATATACATTTCTCAGAATAGTATACATATAAAAATCAGGGCTGCATTTAAACATGGATTTAATTTCCATTTCTCTAGACCATCACAACATAAACCTGAGTCTGCTTACACATCGGATGAGAACGCAGTGTCGCATGACTATGCAGAATGCAAGAATTCGGTTGTGACATTAGAAAGAGGCAGCTGTTACTCTGTTTACCTCCTAGTGACTGAACTAAAATGTACCCATTTCTCTGTTTTATGAGGCATGCAAAGTTCATCCATATAGAATGATGGCGAATGGCTTAGGATTTGTCTGTCTAGGGAATCGCTCATCTCTGGAAAACTGGTTCCATTAATAGATCAGCAGCTTCAGCTTCCTGAGCTATAGAGCAGGATTATTCTGCTTTGTCACCTCAGAAGAGAAACTCAAGATCTTCCCCATTTGTGGCTGAGAGGGCCAGAGGCAATCTTTCTCCATTCCTTCTTGAATAGCCTCTCCAAATGAACAATAGGCACCAACTCTGATGCATTTCAAGAAGGCCATTAAAACAATATTGCTCCCCAGAGTTATTAATGGCTAATTTAGACATCGCCATTGTGATGTGATGTTAGTAGGTGGGTATTTAATTTATTGTAACTGTTTCATTGATTTGGTGTTTTGTTTTGTGTAAATCACTGGCAGTCATACCTAGAATACAATATATAAAAAAAATTAAATAAAGTGTCACCCTTTGAAGTTCCTTTGGCTAGTTCATCTTTCAAACAGCTAACTCACCCCTCTCTTATTTATTATCAGAACTGTTAAGACACAATTATGCAGAGGCATAATTTGTATTTGATGTTTCATTAACATTAAAGTCTTATTTTTAATACTTATGAGAGCCTGGTTGTTGTGGTCCACCAGCAGCCTGTGGACCTGGCAGCGGATTCGGACAGTGAGGAGGCTGGGAAGGACAATCTGCCAGTCCTGGAGTCAGGGGAAGGCTCGGACGAGGGCTCTGCATCGGAGGCAGAGATGGGGCCAGGGCAGTGGTGAAATGTGAAATTTGTTACTACCGGTTCTGTGGACGTGGCTTGGTGGTGGTGGTGGTAATGTGACTGGGTGGGCGTGGCCAAATTTTTTTTTTTTTACTTTTAAAAGCATTTTTTCTACAACCTCTTTGGCCGAAGAGGTTGTAAAAAAATGCTTTTAAAAGCCTCTGACGATCCCAGCTGAGCCACACGATCATCAGAGGCTTTTTTTTTTTTTTTTACTTTTAAAAGCATTTTTTTGGCCGAAGAGGTTGTAGAAAAAATGCTTTTAAAAATAATAAAAAAAAACAGCCAAAGGACTGGTTATGAAGAATTTGTTTTGGACTACATTGAGAATGAATTAATTCTCAGCTGTTTTAATAAAATAAGTTTGTTCAGGACTGAATTGTGTTTGGTAATCACTACTTGGGCCTCGGTCACAACACTGGTCTGGGTTCAATTTAGTCAGCTACTTTGGTGGTCTTTGCAGCTATATAACAAATGACTGATTCACACATGCGGTTGTCATGTGTTTGGTTTATGGCTTATCATGAATTCATGGTTGTGGTCTATACTCCATGCTTTTGTTATTGGGATAGATTCAGACATCATGTAAAGCCAACCCTTCCCCCCCCGCCTCCCAAAACCCCAGGAAAGAATTCAATGAAATAAGGTTGTTTTGCAGGGCTCAGGAAACATGCCTGCTCTGTGGCAATTTGTGCTTTTTGCAGTGATCTCCCCCCCAGAGATTCATGTGGCTCCTACTCTTTTATCATTCAGGAAACTATTAAGACCTGGGTGTACTGATTGGGGATAGGATAATTTTGTCCTTCCGTTTTATTCTGTTTTGAATACTCTGGACTTCCAGTCAGTGGTATCTTTTATATGCTTTCATAGATAAAGCATATTTGTAAGCCGCTCAGTCTTTTAGGACTCAGGTAGCCTATATATTAAATAAGAAGAAATAATAATAATGTGGCAAATGACAACTTCAGATAGGGATATAGGAAGTGGAAAAACATTGGAGTTTTCCATTTCTTCTGTACTTTACATGTGCATCTGTTCTAGTTTGTTACTTATCAAAGCTAGGGACATATTTTATTCATTATAGATTAAATTGCTGAATAATTTTTCCAATAATTTTCCTGTTCTTTTAATTCAAGTTTAGGGCTCAATGATGTAATTATTTATTTTTATGGTAGTGTGGAGCATTTCCATCATTGGCTCAGAACTGATTGCAGCTTGTATTTTTTAAAAAAAGAAACACAAGCTGTTCAGTGCCTTGGATCCCATTTTTTGTCTTCCTTGTAAACACCACTTCTTAATCTTTCTACTTTTGCACTTTGGTTCCAAGTGAAACACTTTAATCCAATGGAAAAGTAATGTCTGTACCGGAGGGAGGGAGGAAGGAAGGAATTTTACTTTCATGGTGATTGGTATTGTACTAAGATGAAGTCTTCTGAATTAGAACTAGGTTCATGGTATGCACTATTACCTTCAGTTGGCAGTAGAAGCTTATGGGGGGAATGTGATCAAGTGAAGTTCGGTCTCAACCATGCAAGAAATAGTCAAGAACTGAATGCAAAAGTACTGGTAATGCAATCCAAACAGTAAGAGATATCAATTAATATAATGCTAGTCCTATGCGTAACATACATAAGGAGAGAGAGAAAGAGATAGTATTACCCCTTTTAATACTTACCAAACCTAAATCTGTGCATAAACATATAAATAACTTCTCACTTCAGAGCCTCATACTTTTACCATGAGTTTTTTCATAATATTTTAATAGGTGGGAACCGATCAAATTCACTCAGTCTGGACACCTTTCACGCAACTACAGAAAGGCAGCAATTTTCTCTTGCTCTCTGCCTTTGTAGTAGTTCCCCATTCCACTTCTCTATACAGATTTGGGGAAAACTCTTCTTCTAACTGATGAAGTACATTGTAATTTCCAAAGTTGTAGGCTTTGTTAAATCTGTTCAGCCTCAAAGGCCGCTGCTAGTTTGATGTTTTATTGAAACATGGCTGTCCTGTGGGAACTTTCCAAAAGGAAATCTCCAGCTGAGTAAACCATAACAGGAACAGACCATTTGAAAGGCTCACTGCATCAAATTCAAGAGCTTTTACTTATTGACTATTTAAATCAGCATGACTGGAAGTCTAGAATAAACTTTTAAAAAAATGTTATTCCCAGCATGGGTTCTCAGCATGAAGGCAATTGGGGAAGCAGCACTACTCAAGAGGGTTTTTAATTTTGCCCATTTGAAACACCACACTCAATCCATATGCAGCATGCATTGTTATGGGGAAAACTAAACAACCTGAAATTACCAGAAATTTTCCCCACAATTCTGCCCTACAAAAACCTTGAAAAGGTCTCCGTTGTCAATTAACGTAATCCACTCTGCTAAACATTTCCAAAATATGGCATTCTCCAGATGTGCAGGAACTGCAGTTCTTTGAATTTTCAACCAGCAAGACCAAATGCAGGGACTTATGGACATTGCAGTCCAAACACTTCAGGAAAGAAACGAATTTGCGGAAGGATGCAGTGAGTCTAAATTAGGGGTGAAATCTAAAATTTCTTACTACCGGTTCTGTGGGCATGGCTTGGTGGTGGTGGGGTAATGTGACTGGGTGGGCATTGCCTTTTTTTTTTTTTTACTTTTAAAACCATTTTTTCTACAACCTCTTCGGCTAAGAGGTTGTAAAAAAATGTTTTCAAAAGGCTCTGATGATCCCAGCTGAGTTCCCTGATCGGCAGAAGCTTTTTTAAAACTCAGCTGGGATCGTCATAGCATTTAAAAGAAAAAAAAACCCTTGTTTTCTTTTAAATGCTCTGACGATCCAAGCTGAGTTCCCTGATCGGCAGGGGCTGCCGATCAGGAACTCAGCTTAGATCGTCATAGCATTTAAAAGAAAAAAAGGGTTTTTTTCTTTTAAATGCCTTTGATGAGCCACGCGATCATCAGAGGCTTTTTAAAAACTTTTAAAAACATTTTTTCGGCCATAGTTGTAGAAAAAATGCTTTTAAAAGTAAAAAAAAAAAAAGCCTCTGATGATTGTGCGGCTCAGCTGGGCATGGGGGGGGGGCGGCGGGGATTTTTGCTACCGGTTCTCCGAACCACCCACCTCCATCGCTACCGGATCGGGCAATCCAGTCCGAACAGGGAGCATTTCACCCCTGGTCTAAATGCAAACTAATGGCAATTTTAAATGCCCAGAGTCCATAGATTCTACAGTATTTGTATATTGGGAGGTTGGGGATATTTACAGCACAGGGAAATCTTTTATGAAAAAGTAGGGTGGGGGGAGGAGGAAAGCACCCCATCCCTCCCAAGATATTTTAAAAATGCAAGCAACTTAAAAGATAATATAGCTCCAAAACGAGTTAACTGAAAAACAAAGCAAGCATTGCAATTTGAAAGATTTCAAAACAACAACAAATAAATCTTATGTTAAACAAAAAAGTGATATGCATTGTAACATTATATATTTGAAGAAAAACATTTTATAAAAGTAGAATAAGATGGGGAGAAAATAAAAAAGATACCCACTCATTTTCTAGATGAACAGAAACGTGCAATTCAAACAAACAACATGTTAAAGATGCAGGGGAAAGCCAATTTGATCTCGTGGTTAAGGGAACAGGTTAGAAACTAGGAGACTGTGAGTTCTAACCCTGCCTCAAGCATGAAAGCCAGCTGGGTAAGTTTTGGCCAATCACTCTCTCTCAGCCCAAGCCACTTCACAGGGTTGTTGTTGTGGGGAAAATAGGAGGAGGAAGGCGTATTAGGTATGTTCGCTGCCTTGAGTGATTTATAAAAATAATAAAGGTGGGATTAAAAAAAAATCTAAAAAACCAACTGAAATATACAAACTGTGTAACATGCATTGAATAACACAATCACGCAAGCTATAGAAACAACAGCCAAAGTCTGCCGATGTGATAAGAATTGCAGCACAGCCTCGCACAACAGTTTGCCTGAATGACTAGCAGCCAAATAGCAATGCAATGCAACACGACATTTTCTGCTCTTTCGCTATACAGCTGCCTGAAGCTAGCCAGAAAGATGCCATCTCAGTGGGAGATACATTCTACATTGTGTCTCATTGATATAGCTAAAACAATTGTGGGAATAACAACAACAACAACAAAGCCAGCTTCCAGAAAGTAGGGAAGCAGCAATTTTCATCTTCAGATAGCAGTATAGATTCTGGATTGTCGTTCCATTGAAAGGCCTGCATTTAAATCATATACTGCCTGTTTCTTCAGGGGGGGAAAATCCCATAAACTAATATTTCATATTTTCTGACAAAAAGCAGAAGGATTTTTCATCGCAGTTTTTAAAGAAAATGTGTTTGTTAAATTGATCAGGAGTGTTAGTAAAAGCAGGGGGGAGGGAGAATAAAGCGTTTGTTGTAAAAATGATTTAGCCTCCGGAGCCCACCATACCGTGGGGGGAGGTGATCCTCTTCCAATCAGGGGGACGTTTTCATACCGTGGATTCCCACCAAAGAGCACAGCTTGGTTCCTGCAGGTAAAGAGGAGTCAGATCAGGAGGACAATCTATTAAAAGGAAATCTGTTATGGGCTATGAAATATTCCTGACATTTTCACAGAAGCAGGGGATCCTTGTTGGAGGCAGAAGCCTGTGGGAGTGGGGAAAAGGTGGGAGTGTGGATACACAGGGTATTTATTCACGCTTGTCTTTGTGTCGGAAGTACCTGTGGTGCTTCCAAGTTGAAACAATTAGCCAGTGACATCACTGTTGCTCGGGGGACATCCAGTTGGGGTTCTTTCATGTCCCCATTAATGTGCCCACCAAAGTGGTATCTATCTATCTACTTGCGATTACATGCTTTCAAACTGCTAGGTTGGCAGGAGCTGGAGCGAATGATGGGAGCTCATCCCGTCACGCAGCAGCATTGGATCTTGAGCCATTTATTAATTTTGCCCCTCGCAGCACCATGAAGATAGCTTAGAGAGGGAATCAGCAAGCATTCATAAATGCCCTGATCATCGTCTTTTTTGCCCTGGTACTTTCCAGATGCATTAGATGGGAACTTCCATCATTTCTAGTTCAATACTCAAAGATACAGCTGGCTGAGGAAAATACAAATGTTACTCCCAACACAGCTGAAGAACGCCTGATTGGGAGAAGCTACACCAGCTCTCATGAGTTGTCTCCTTGATCTGTAAAACACCGTGGGGAAGGAATTCATTCTGGAACGAACTCCTCTACATTCAGTGAGCACTATGTACCCTGTTTCCCCCAAAATAAGACATCCCCTGATAATAAGCCCAATCGGGCTTTTGAGTGCAGGGCAATAAGGCCAATCACTTATTTCAGGGTTCAAAAAAAATATAAGACAAGGTCTTATTTTTGGAGAAACACGGTACTGCGAAGAACAACTGAGCCTTGAGAACAATAGCAAAGGACATGCGTATCCTCTTTCTTTTATGCACAATGGGTGTGAGAGGAAGGACATCCAGCAAAAGTCACTCAAGGACAGACAAAAAGAGCAGTAGCTAACAATCAGGCTTACCAATGCTCCAAGTTTATTTTACAACATCCTCCAAAGGAGAAAGAGAATGAGAAGAATAAGTTGGTTGCTTATCAAGTTAAAATTTAATGCAGCCTTTCCTAAATGTTCTTCAGACATGTGGGCCTCCCATTCCCATTATCCCCATATGGTAGGAAATTTGAACATGTAATCAAGGTTACTAGGTTGAAAGGCTGGCAACTCAGAAGTTGTACTGAACTGTGAAGTAAGTGTGAATATACAGTAGTGGCCAAAATTGTGGAAAACTTTTGGGAAAAGTGTACTTTCTAAAACTAGCTAATAACACCACTTTTTTGGGGGGAGTAGTACAGTGGTGGGTTTCCCTCGGTTCGGACCGGTTCTATAGAACTGGTAGTAAAACCGGAGGGAGGCTCCACCCACCAACCCTGACATCATGAGAACGCTTCTGCGCATGCGCAGAAGAGCGCGCACGGCCCCGTTGCGAACTGGTAGTAAAGGTAAGTAGAACCCACCCTTGGAGTAGTACTATAAAATTATATATCAATGGAAAGATAATTAATCAAGAATGTAATGCAATAACTTTTATGAAGGGTTTGCTATTAGAATAGCAGTTACAGTATAAAGAAGAAAAGTGAAACACATAGAAAAACCGAGATATACAAAAATTATCACATTAGTTAATACTAAGTTGGGTAACCTTTAGCATGAATTATGGCCTTACAGCGTTTTCCCATGGAGTGAACCAAGTCTTTTAGTTCTGCAGCTGTTATAATGTGAAATTTAAGATTGAATGATTGCTTCTATTAACTGGGTTTTAATGCCAGGTCTCTTCTGACTAACAAGTTTCTTTAGACTGCTCCATAGATTTTCAATTGGGTTAAAGTCTGGGCTATTCCCAGGCCATTCCAGCAGTGGAATATGATTATCTTGAAACGCCCCCCAAAAAGTAATGTTATTAGCCATCAAACCTCAAAAATACACTTTTCCCAAAAGGTTTCCACAATTTTGGCCATGACTGTAGTGCAGGGCATTCATGGGCCTATATTCCAAATGGGAAACCAACTTTTCTGCAAATCGTCTTTATGTGGCAAAATTTATATGCCTGTGAAAGCTCAGGTAGTTTTTAGGTAGCATTGTTTCCCTCTGAGAATTTACTATAATGTACAGTATCCGAAAGAACAGTTTTAAATCAGCTTCTATTTTTAACCCAGATCTGGAATCAGCAACTAGGGTATGTTTCTGAGGTCACAATTGAAAAAAAAAATCATTCAGCAAAGAAATCTCTTTGTCTTCCTACCTAAATTGGAGCCATAAAGGTGGGCAACACAATGCTCCCTTCCTCAGCTCTGTGACTGGGCAGAAAAGAGACAATTCGTTTGATTGCTCCTTAGCAGAAGCACTTTTCTTTTCTAAGATTTTGCAGCAAATGGTTCAGAGAGCTGAAGGTGGGAGACCAGATGGTTTCCACCAGTTATGAAAACAGAAATGGGAAATCTCCTTCCCGCCATTTTGGATGGACTTTCTCCTCCAATGGACCTTTTCCATTGTTAAACCTCACTCAAATTCAGAGGCAATTCAATGGTAACACCATCTCCCTGAAGGAAACACTAACAACTTATGAGGGTACTGAAGATGTGGGTTCAACAGCTGCCTGAAATCCAAAGTAGGATTAAGTTGTACACCATACACGTCTGTATAGTGACAGATGGGATATGATGCCATCTCCAGAGCTTCCCCACCATGCTCTTTTCTGGTGGCTGTTGACATCTATGGCCAGAGAATCTGTACTGGAGCTAGAAGTTACTACATTTTCACAGAAAAGATGGTAGTAGCTATATATATCTTCTCATGCATAGATGAAAAATAAAGATTCACTTGAGTCAAAATAAATTCCTAATGAAATCCATGTATTTTGCTTGACCAAAATATGGAAACGGTTGCACTGTCTTCAAGATTTAACTTCTAGCCTAGCCTGCAGGATTTCTTAATAATCTCCCATCCAAGGCCTAAGCAACTCCGACAATGTTCGATTTTTTTGACATCAAACATTCCCCCAGTTTTTCTTTGTATTGCTATCTATTATTTCATTCCAAGCCAAGTCATAGAAAGGTGCAAAAAGGAAGTACCATGTATACTTGTAGATGAGCTGAGAATTTTGGGTTTCAAAATACATCCCCAAAATTGGGTTCAGCTTATCTGCAGACCAGTCTATCATGGCGTTTAAAATCATAGTTTTATAAATGCTGACATTACGCTTTCAATTATCTGTCCACTGCTATGATTAATAATACAAGGACTGACTTATTCACGGGTGACCCATTTTTCATGGCATTTTTGGTTGAAATTTCAAGGGCTGGCTTATCTGTAATTATAAACGATAAATGGCCAAGACTTCCTCCATCAAAAGTCAGCACATTTTCCAACCAATCAATCCATAAATATATTTAAACAAAGATCTTTTCATAAAAGGACATGCAAATTTATATGACAACTCAACAAGAAAAAAAACCCTTCCTGTGTTAAATTAAAGGATCACACTACAGTAATTAACGAATAATAAAAGATGCAAAAAGTAGGAGAACAGCTTGTTTCACACATCTTCTCTAGGAATATTTTAAGAACTGCATCTAGTCTTTATTTTTAAAAATGTTTTCTCCAACATACAGTTCAAAAGTACGGTTTCTCAATGTTTTTCATCCTTAAGGCCGTCTTCTTTCAATAAGAAGGCAATTGCTACAGTTTGAATACCTAGCAGCTGTATAAACCTGGATTTTCGGTCTCGTGGCTGGGATGTCAGGACTATGGAGGACATGGGTTGACAGCTATTAGGTTGGTAAAATGGGAAAACATAATGGTTTTCAGAGAAAGATGGAATGATGGAAGCAACAACAAAAGGCAGCCCAAATCTGAACGAGGACAGACAGTATCAGAGTATATTAAGTTAAGGTGGAGAACACCAAATAGCAGAGGCTATGTCTGTTGCCACCTTGAAAACCTCACAGGAGAGGATGTGGGTTTAAGTACTGATTATTGCTTAACTTCTGCAACTTCTACTAATTCCATGCATACTTACATGTACTCAGACACTGGTGCATTGGAGACGGTCTGGGCAGGAGGCTGAAGGCTCGTCTGACTGCCCAGGCTGCTACTGTAGCTACAGAAACTACGGAGTTGCCCACGGTTGGGATTGTGGGCAGCAATACGTCGAGCCTGTGGGTTGAAGGGGTCCTCTTCGTCTATGTCATCATAATCCCGATCCCTAGAAGGAAAAAACAACAACAACAGGCCAACTTAGAAAGTAAAATAAAATCTGAACACAGGGAATAGTTATGAACGGAGTGGCAAGTGAGAAGATGTAACACTCATTCCTGGAGGGATAGGGTATTTCAGTTGCTTGAAGTATCCCTTAATTTTAAGGTTTCTTTTGTAATGTTAGCAGAGACCAGGAAAGGAACCATAGTATCTGAAAAAAGAGAGCTTTTATTTATGTAGAAAACCCAAACTTAAGGGACAGTTCACATTAATCAGGAAGCAGGAAAAAAAAAGCAGAAAGAACTGATTGTGCTTCCTTCACCAATTTTAGGTAATGAAAGAAGAATGAACATACAGAAGTTATCCCAAAATTGATGTTTTTATGATCAGGAATGTATTATTTATTAAATTTATATGCTACTCATCTCATTGTCGAGTGACCCCGGGGAGCTTAAAACTAAGGAATGCTAGAGAGTGCCTATACGTGATGCTAGATAACAGGGAGAATATTCTTGTGTTGTGTTTTTCTCTCATAGATGAATTGCCCGATTCTCTTCCCCTCTTACTGTTCTCTCCATCCTCTCTCAACAAATTAAGGGTGAATATGAGAAACCCAGAAAGACACGAGAGGTTAACTATTCAACAATTGATGAATGCATTCTGGTAAGTGGCATTAAGTGGCCATAACATTTCTAAATAACCTTATGCTATGCTATTTAGTCAATATCTCCCACTGCATAGTCTCTAGAATGCTTCTTTAAATTCTTCAACATGCATAGCTCTCAATGAGGACGGGACAATAGGAAGATCAGCTCATAACTCTGCAACTTTATTGAAGGAGAAATCAGACTGATGTTCTGGTTGTTGCAGAACATCACCCGTTTTTATTTTATTCATCCCTTTTTCAAAACATCCCTCTGTCGTCAGCAAGGTTATTTTGACTTTGTGGTAGCCCTGGGTAACTTATTCCGTTTTACCTGCTGGCTAAATGTTTCCAGGCTCGAGGCATGGCACATATGATGGTGGAGAAGGATACAGCAGCCATCAGAGAGAAGAGGGTGAGGTAGAGCAAGCCTTCCACCCCATCGTAGCAGATCCCAACCAAGGCATCCAGGTAATCCTTTAGTGAAAGGAAGGGAGGGGGGGAAAAGAAGAAAGGAAGTGTGTTGCTCCTGTGCTACGAACACCTTTGTACCCAAAGCAGAGTGTGCCTTATGCTGCTTACCTTGTGAAGGCCCCTGCAGTCCAGCATGGCAGTCAGCTGGTGAAGGTTGATTTCAGAGTAGTTCAGTAACTTCTGTATATCAAGCAGGTCTTTCTGCAGCAAGGGCAAAAGCCGTCAGAGAAGGGGCATATATTCTATTGGAAAAGGAATAGTGTTCACCATACCTAGAATGACTGTCCAACCATCACTGTGAATAGACTACCGATTGTACTGCAGTCGTAGCCTATCCTTCCCAGCTGGCACACACAATATCGCCTCTCTGATTTTATCTTGTGATATCAAATTGGGCTGAGAGATGGTGAATGGCCCAGTGACTTTTTTTTTTTTGGGCTGATTCCAAATTTGGAACCCTTATCCTTCCGATCTTAATTTAACTGTTACCCAACATTGGTTTTATAGAAACAGGGATAACTTTAGAGCTTTAGTGCTTTTACAAAACCTCATGAAGAAGAAAAGGGCGTCTTCTCTTGGTACTGCTATTAGTTATTACCAGGGATTCTCTCTCTCATTTGATTAAATGCTAAAAGAAAGGAAAAAGAACTACCTTATTGTTCACCTGTCAGCAATAGATATACACAGAAAGTCATCTCACTTATGCATGGAGGCATTGCTTGATTTCAGATACTTTTGCTAAAGCTCCATATGGGAGCTCAAGGGCATGCCTGTCAAAGCCCATGGAACTGGCAAAACTGAGGAAGCAAAGACAACCTAATTTTCAGGAAGGCATATGTAATGTTAGTCTGAGATAACATTATTTTTGAAAACTGTCAGCCACATTATAGTAAATTATTAATTTGGACTCTCTTTGAAACACTTTTTTCTCACAACTTTCACATCTGGACCATGCAGCCTCTTCTCAGATAAACCAGTGGCTTCATCCCCTGCTCACAATCTCTCACAATGCCCTAGGACAAGTTTCTCAGATACCTGAGGAGCCTATAGGGACAGATCCACCTACCCTCTGTAGCCAATATTACACTTCATTTCACACGGCAGACAAAATGTGACCATGCGTTATGTTCGTCTCCAACTATCATAAGCCTTTGCTACGGTTTGCAGGTTGCTCATTCATGTTATACAGAACATCGAATGACATTTCCTGTCAAAAACTAGTTTGTTAAGCAACTGGCTTTTTTTTAATCTAGCTGAAGGCGGCTTTGAAATTTCATCTACATCTGAAATATACAAATGGATACAATTGCTAACTCTTTTCTGTTCATATGAAATTTCACTCCATCTATTAAAATGGTTTCCAGTCGCTACAGTACTCTTTCCAACTTTATATTCTCTGGATATGATGGGAGTAAAGCTCATAGAATTACTACCTGGAGAAAACCAAATCAGTGAAGACTATGATTACAGGGGATCCTAGACTTGTACCTTTGCTACTGTATGGTCATGGCACCTACATCCTATCAACCATAATCTATGATTTTTCTGCTGCTTGCTTTACCTTCAGGTAGTTCATAAGAATATTCAACATTTCCCTGGTTAAATATGTGCCCATATTTTGTATTTGTCAAATACTGTTTCTGAAAATAGCAGGTGTGTGACCCACTTCTAAATGTACATAACTCAGAAGCTTCCATCAAAGAACCTTGCCTACTTCCATAGGAAAAGACAACATTGTGCAACTTACTTTGGCTGTAGGGAAAAAAGGCACTGCAAACTGCACAAGACCCTGAATCTGGATCTGCATAGTTGTGAGAGAACGCTGGTAAATAGTCAGGGCCTACAAATAGAGAACACATCATGCAAGGTATTAGTCATTTTTTTTCTACATAAATCTTAACTTGAGGTACAGGTAATCCTTGATTTATGACCACAATTGAGCCCAAAATTTCCACTGCTAAGCGAGACCGTTGTTACTGAATTTTGCCTTGTTTTACAACTTTTTTTATTTTTTTATTTTTTTATTTATTTATTTATTTATTTATTTAATGAGATTTATATGCCGCCCTATCTCCAGCCGGACTCAGGGCGGCTCACAACAGTAAAAAACATCTAATGAAAAAGTTAAAAAGAAATTAAATCCAAATCTCATAATTTAACAGTTAAAAGCGCAATTAAGATTAACAAGTTAAAAATTAAAACCCCATCAGTCCAGGCCAGTCAAATGAAACAGCCACGTTTTCAGATCGCGATGGAAAGAGTGGAGGTCGGGGGCCACCCGGAGCTCCAGGGGCAGTTGATTCCAAAGGGTAGGTGCCAGAGATATTAAGTGGATCACTGCAGTTGTTAATTTAGTAATGCTGCTTTACGTGAATCTTGCTTCTCTATTGACTTTGCTTGTCAGAAGGTTGCAAAAGGTGATCATATGACCCTGGGAGATTGCAACCATCAATAAATACAAGCCAGTTGCCCAGGGTCTAAATTTTGATCATTTGACCACAGGACACTGCAATGATTGTAAGCATGAAAAATGATTGTAAGTCACTTTTTTCATTGCTGTTGTAACTTTGATCACTAAACTAATGTTTGTAAATCAAGGATTTCCTGCAAACAGATTAAATACTATCCTCTTTCAACAACTAGGAGTCAGTCCACACTCTTTTACATCAACATTCAAAACATCAGAAAGCTTTCTCTCCCTGGAAATCCAATGAACTAAATGGTTCTCTTACCTACATTTCATAATTAATACCTTCTATGTAGAGGTCCAACTTTCCAGGACTTACTGAGATTACTGAAGCCACAGCTCCAGATTGAGTAAGGAGACATCAGAGCTGGATCTTCCAAATTAACTAACATGTTCAGATAGGGATGTTTCCTTACCTGGGGAGAGCCCTGTGGAATGCAGTATTGCAGGCAAACTCTGCCCGCACACCAAGAGTTCGATCCTGACGGGCTCAAGGTTGACTCAGCCTTCCAAGGTCAGTAAAATGAGGACCCAGTTTGTTGGGAGCAATAAACAAATAATGCTTCTAGATTGTAAACAGACCAGAGAGTGCTGTAAAGCACTAAGGGGTGGTACATAAACCTAAATGCTATTGCTATTTTTGTGGAGAGTAATGCTCATCAATTTTCCCTGCCCTATCACTGAAAGCAAGCTGATTCTTGGAATAAAGAGCCAGGTTTCTGTTTTCATTGCTATTGGGGAATCCTTTGCCAATGGTGTACAAAGGCAACCAAGTTCTTACCTGTTGAAAGGGGTTGGTCAGACTCTGTCTACAATACAGGTAATACTGTACGATTTCTACGAAAGCAAAGTGCAAGAGGAAGAGAGTTATTGTAGTTATTGGTTAAAGTGTGACACTTTTAGCAACTTCTAAGCCATACTGAGTCAGCACTGCTCAGCACCAGTTGAGACAACACTGTATGGAGTGTCTCAGTTTACAATGCTGGCGTTGTCTAATATATGTTGAAAAAATAATGCTGCAGAAAAGTTTGTATCTAAAGGTTTTGCCAGACTTTTGACATGAGAAGCAATATTTGAGTAAATCTATTTTCATGTGCCACATAAATCATAGCCTGCCATGAATGTATTATTTTGTAAAAATTTCAGCTTTCATTAATGATAAAGCCACACCCTACACCATATCTCATAAATACTGCCCACCTACCAGCATAAAAGCAACTGCAAATGGTAACTAATAAATGATTGGTTCATCAAATCTCTATCCCTACTTAACCCTTCCACACTTGCTGATTTTTCCAAACCAATCTCCCCTACTAATCTGAAGTTCTGCCTTAGTATGTTAAGAGACATAGCAAATGCCAAAGATAATTAGCAAATGGTCCCTTTGCATAATCTCCCATCCCTACTAAATTTACTTAACCTTTTCTCTTTCACCCAATCCTTCAAAACAAGTTGGAGCAACTGCTAAACTGTGGTTCTACATTAATAAAAGGAAATAAAATGAAATCTGAGTCCCTAGCTTAAGGGAAAAAAAACATCAAACCTTCGGCAAACATTAACAAAAGGGATGTTTTGGCCCAGATTCTATAGCCGGGAGTATTCTCTTTTTGCCTCTGTTCACTGGTTTGGGGAGGATAATTTAATGCAGAAGCAGAGGGGGGTAGTTTTTACCTCAAACAGCCATGGGACTCTTGTGGGGTAAATTAACTCTACTTGGTCAGTGTTCTCATAAGATGTCAGTTAATGGACTGTTAAGGTTAGACCAGAAGACCTCCAAAGTTCCTTCTTTCTATGATCTTTCCATGCTACCAAATCAGAAGTAAATTTTAGAATGGGCCAACAAAAGAGGTCTCTCTAGGATCTACTTGTGTGCTCCTTGGTTTTTTTAACACTTCCATACATAGTCACAAAGTAGGTTGGAAAAGCACAATCACTTTCTGAGCACTTTTCACTTAAATATTCTGAGCACTTTCCACATAAATATTCACACTATCCCTTAATTAAAGTGTGGTACCTTAAATCTCTGGATTTTGTATACTGATGTTTATCTATGCAGGGCTGGACCTAAATCTACATCACATTTTATTTCTCTTCAGTCAACTTTCAATTAAGGGTTTTTCCTCCGCTACTCAAATGATGGCAAAAGCAGTATTTTTACCTGCACTGAGGTCATTTTTTGTCATATTCACAATGAATTTATCTGGGGACACGCAAAAGTCACTGGTACCCTATAAGAAGCAAAATTTTTATTTATTTATTTTGTAAATTTTTATTAAAGATTTTTTAAAAAGAAGATAAAATTAATGTTTTTTAAAAGGAAGTTGTTATCATTATTTGAAGTTGTACTTAAGGAGGTTACATGCTGATTTACATCTGAGGTTACATCTGGCTTAAGAAATTGTTTCTACATATCCCAGCATTGCCAAGTGAATGGATAGACTGCACAGGTAGAATGTGCATATGAATTTAAGATATTAAAGCTTCCTATGAATATGCATTTGTTTTAAATTTTATTCTTCTATGTTGAATTTGTACACCAATTATATCTGTATGAAAACAATGCATAAAAAATCAAGGTGTTTATAAAAGTTGACTTTTCAGATAAGAAACCAGAGTAATACGGAGGCTGCAATAACTGTTAAATATCTCATGCTTAGATGAAATTTACTTTCTGATACTCCCATCTGCCAAAAAATTAGAGTAACCAAAGTTTGTAAATAGCAGAAAGGAAACCATTTAATTTCTTCCTGGCTCCCCTTGAAATCTTGGCAGAAGTGCCACTAACTTACAAGTAGAGCATTTTATGAGATTGGCAGTGCTGAGGGCACATGGCAAATTAATTTTCCTCTGCCTGACACAGAGCAGGCAGGCAACCAAGCAAAACACCTTCAAGATGACTTCTGCTCATTTTAAATAACCAATCTCCTTGTTGCTCAAAATTTCTCCTGCTAAGTGTGCATTGTGCTATGAGAAGATATGATTCTGGAAACACAAAAACAGGAAAGGCTGCAGGAAGCAAGGCAAGGGAGAGCAAAACACGTCCTCCCCAAATGAACAGGCCTTTTAGCTGTCAGAAAGTTGGAAAGAATAGTTGGGAGGTCTCCGGTGGTCAGGACCTAAGGCATCACAGTAAACTTTGTGCATTGAGCCCTTAAAACAGCCACAGTTTGACGTTAAAGCTCGAGTTAAAGTGTCGGGCTTACCACTGCTGCTGAAACATCTGCTGCATAGGAAGCCCAGCTGAGACAAAGTGTGAAAAGTCCACAGCACAGCATCCTGTGAGCAAAAAATATACAACAAAGAATCAAAAGGAGACCTCAGAAAGGTGACAGCAAGACTCTGCACCATTGGTTTGAGCACTCTTACTGGATAGAGTCTTATGTTGCTATTCTTCTTGCTCCTATAACATCTTTTAGGACAAGTCTTGATTATGCCTATCACAGAGATGCAGAGCATAACCATGCATGGAGAATATTGCCTGTAAATCAAACGGTGCAGGTGGGAACTGAAGTTAAACACCTTGAATCCAGTTCCAATTATTTTGTCTGCACAAACTGATGAAATGCATGATTGTCCTGGATATTTTGATCCAGATCACAGCTTCCAGTCTTACTAAAATCTACCCCCTCCTGGACATAGAGCTCTCTTTCTCGTTCACAGAAACAGAGAGTGGGGGGAGGAGGGAGGGAGGGAGGGGGGAGGAGATACCTGCACCGGAAAATATATTTTTAAAATCAATACTACAACATATATCCAAGAAACCAGTTTCCTCTAACTTGCAATTCTGGTAACTTCATTCATATTAAATTTGTGTTGTTTTTCTAGCCTGACTGGAAACAGCAAAGTCCATATGGAGTGGGAGTTAACAGAAAAATTATCTTCAAAAACAAGAAAACATATTAGTTTTTGCAGACTCGGGCTAGCTATATGTTAGAACAGCTGTGCCATAAAAGTAAGCAGATATCTACGGTAAGACTATCAATCCCTCACTGAAAATTATTATCCTTTATTCTGTCCTTTTATTCTGTTGCATTTGCTTGTTCTGGTGCGGTCATTCTAATGAAAAGGAACACTTCCAGGAGTAAAAGAGAAAGCTAGTCTAACAACATCCTATATCACAACTACAGTGCATTCCAGAAACAGTTTCTAAAATTCAGATGGAAAATTGCTGGTTAGTGTTTTCATCCATAAAGTGTAGTCAGGTAGGGTTGTGATAGGTACAATCGAATGCAATGTAGGCAGCATGGAACTCTTGGATCCCTTCCATGTGAGCCTACCAATTCTAAGAAACCCTCCCTAAATCCCACAAGCGGAGACCTTTGCCAGGTGGTTTTTCTCCAGGGAGGACTCTCTCTCTTAGGGTCCAAGATCATCAGACTGCATTAAAGACTTGAGAGCCTTGAGCATGACTGTAAAAGATACCTTTTCTTTCCTCCCTCTCTTGTGGAATGACTTTGTGTACTCACGTAATAAGCAGACACCTGGAGTGCTTTGTCAGCCCAAGGCAAGCAATAAGACAAATCACCAAGTCCAGAATGAACAGCAAGAGGTAAGAGAGCCATCTGGAGAAAAGAAAAAAAAAAAGAGAGAAAGAGAGAGAATGCTTGGGTAACTCATACATCCCTGGAGAAACTTGGCAGGAGGAGGGATGGTGAAATTTAAGCAGGACGCTGTTCTTAGGCTTTGTGGGCAACACCTCCGCAGAACCATGGAACAAAACAATATGGCATTTCTACAAATTATCCAAGTTTGTGAAGGGCAAACTCCTCCTCTAGAGGCCTGAAGACAGACTGATGAAATTGAAAGGGAGACATCATCCAAGGGACATTCAAATGCAAATGGAAACATATATGGCTAGCAGAATCGAACAGATTTGAGAAGCTGAGACTTCTCCAGTGCAATCATACTTTCTTGGGAATAAGCAATACTTACTTTGAAGCTAGCAGGCAGGTGATGACAGGTAGTAATAGACTTACAACCGTTCGTTCAGTGACTGTTCAAAGTTACAACGGCACTGAAAAAAGTGACGATGTTTTCACACTTATGACCGTAGTAGCATCCCCATAGTCATGTGATCAAAATTCAGACGCTTCGCAATGGACTTCTATTTATGACGGTTGCAGTGTCCCCGGTGTGTGCGTGTGTATGTGTGTGTGTGTTCATGTGATCCCCTTTTGCGATCTTCTAACACGCAAACTCAACGGGGAAATCAAATGAAGGTAAAGAAAAGTCAGGTAAGGTAAAGAATTTTTACCACTAGGATGCAGCGATATGGTGGAAATGTTAGCATTTTAATCACTTAAAATATCATTAAGTGTTGTACCTTATGATTCTTGATGAACGTATCTTTTCTTTTATGTACACTGAGAGTGTATGCACCAAGACAAATTCCTTGTGTGTCCAATCACACTTGGCCAATAAAAAATTCTATTCTATTCTATTCTATTCTATTCTATTCTATTCTATTCTATTCTATACCTACATAATTTGATATTTTTTTTTAAAAAAAAGAAAGCTGTTTCATGCTGGAAAGAAAGAATTAAGCAAAAAACACAGTCACTTGACCAGGATGAAGTTCCTCCTCCTATCTGTCCAATCACTGCCCTCCTGGATATTGCTGTAAGTCAGAAAGATTTTAGGCTTAAGGCCCATTCATTCCATCAGGGGTAAAAGGAAAGGAGGGAAAATAGCAGTAGCAATAGCACTTAAGACTTATATACTGCTTCACAGTGCTTTTATAGCCCTCTCTAAGCGGTTTACAGAGTCAGCCTATTGCCCCCAACAATCTGGGGAAATGAATGAAAGAATTCCTGTCTCTGTAATGGTGCAATGAAATCCACAAAGTGCTATTTTAAGGAGTCAGTCCATTGGTACAGACAGGATATCATATCTGCTGATCGGCAATAATTCTGCAGGATATCAGAGCAGGCACTTCCCCCATCCCCTGCCCCAAGAAAAGCCAGCAATTGAACTATGGAGCTACTGTTCTCTCCAGTAGCTTCAGAGGCCTGAAGGAAAAATCCCTTTGAACTTTCAAGACCTTCTAGATTAGCTCAAACAGCTTCTAACCGGAGACCTCAATCTTTCCCCAGCCGAGGGCCTCTTAAATATATTTGACTTCATTTTCTGCATTTCTCAGTCAAGAGTCATCCTGAGTTGGGAACATGAAAAGGAAGACATCCAGCTTGGAGAAGGCTGAAATCCACAGACTCTTCAATAGCTCCTTACTGGCAATGTATTTCTCTTGCTACGGTGAATATGCTGACTTACCTATAATATTCTACATAGCTGACATCATTGGCAATCATGGACAAGTCTACAGTGACATCACTCCACACAGGAAGCCCTGACAGTTGCAGCACAATATTGCCTGCCATCTGCTGCATGAATTTGAGCGTTTGTACATATTCACTGTGGGTTGCAAAGATCTCATTCAGGCGAGCCACATGTTGCTCCAGAACTACTTTCATCTGTGTCGTAGTTCCTGAGACCTGCCAAAAGACAATAAGCAGACCTATGAGAACCAGCAGGCAGATAGCTTCAAATCACTTGTACAGCAGAATGACCACAATGACCTTGACTTATATAGGTAGTCCTCGACTTACAACAATTGAGCCCAAAATTTCTGTCGTTAAGTGAGAATTTGTTAAGTGAATGTTGCCCCATTTTATGACATTTCTTGCCACAGTTGTTAAGTGAATCACCGCAGATATTAAGTTAGCAACACGATTGTTAAGTGAATCTGGTTTTCTCATTGACGTTGTTTCTCAGAAGATTGCAAAAAGTGAACACATGATCTTCAGACACAGCAATGGTCATAAATATGAACCAGTTGCCAAGCCTCTGAATTTTGATCACATGGTCATGGGGATGCTGCAAAGGTTGTAACTGTGAAAAATGGTCATAAGTCACTTTTTTCAGTGCTGTTGTAACTTTGAATGGTCACTAAATGAACTGTTGTTAAGTCGAGGACTACTTGTATATTGATCTGGATAGGCCAAGTCGTCTTATGCAATCATCACCTCAAGAATAAAGGCAACACAAAGGAGATGGTGACTAACTTTCTTCATTTATACATATTATAATCTAGAACAGCTTTCCTCAGGCTGGTGTCTTCCAGATGCATTACATATCAATTCCCATAAATCCCCAGTGAAAAGGCTCTTCTCACAATAGTAGATAATGAAATTATCCTTCTGAAAAGCAAGTTAAATTAGCACCATGGGACTGGAATGAACCAAATCTATCTAGTCATCAGGGCCGGTTCACAGGCTCATCTTTCAGCTATCCTCCCATCCATTTTTTTTTTTATTAAAGGAATATTGGGAAAGGAAACCCAGGAAGAAAGGAGGGGCAAAGCAGCAACAAATGGACATGAAAATTGCTGGTCATTTGCCTACAATAGCAAGTTTAGGTTATCTCCTTTGCTTTCCATGTAAAGATACAGAATAAATTTCTGCAATCCTGATGCTTAAAATAGAACCTAACATGCCAAGAAGTCATGAATTGAAAGGTACCATATTGTAGAAGGCCAATTTGTGTTTCTTCAGTCTTCAACTGAAAAACAGTATTTGTGGAACCAGTATTTTTGTATATACATTGTGTGTGTGTGTGTGTGTGAGAGAGAGAGAGAGGGGGGGGGGAGAGAATGAATAACGGAGAAGGAAAGATCAAGACCAGGGGTGTCAAACTCAAGGCCCGGGGGCTGGATCCGGCCTGCGGGATGCTTAGATCTGGCCCATAGGGCTGCCCTGGAAACAGCGAAGGACCAGTCCATGGTGCCTCTGCTAGCAAAAATGGAGCTCGGGAGGGTCATCCGCAGTCCTCCCGAGCTCCGTTTTCGCTGGCAGAGGGTTGCAGGAGGCCGTCGCAGCCGAAAACGGAGCTCGGGAGCCCGTTTTCGCTGGCTGAGCGCTTGGGCCACCAGAGGAGCCCCCAAAAAGAGTGATGTCGAGCTGGCCACCCCACCCTGGCCATGCCCAGCCCAGCCCTCCGAGGTCAAACACAACCCTGATGCAGCCATCAATGAAATCAAGTTTGACACCTCTGATCTGGACATACTGTACTCGTAATCATAATCATAATCTATTCCTCAGATTATTAGTAGACCACCAGCATACAGGAACGGAAACATAAAACAGAAGAGTCTCTCTGTGCGTGATGTGGGTGGTTTCTAAATTTGATATATAAATATAGCATCAACCCAGGAAAATACAAATAAGAATTTGTTTAGCACGATTTCACTAAAATGAGAATGAGAGTTACATTCTCCAATCTCATCACCTTGTGGTGCTCCTTGCTCCTTAGCTTATAAGCATTACTATTTAGTTGTGGCCCTCTGCCAAGAATTCCAGAAGAACTTCTAATAAGCATGACTCCCAGATACCACAGGTGATAGGCTACTTTTCCTGGGCATGATGCCACTTGAAATGCTCTAGCATTGCGTTCTTAGCTGCAGCAGGAAGACGCAAAAAGAGATGCTGGCAAAATGCCTAAGCTCTAGCAAGGCCTTTGAGAGACTGCTGAAATTAGTCAATACAGGTACAGTTCTATAAGAAAGTACCTGCTCCCTTTCAGTTTTTCTGAATTGTTAAGTTTCCCTCCCCCCCCCCCCCAACGAATATTTTCAGAATTCATATGTGTTCTACAGGGATCAACCTGGGGGAAAAAAATCTCCCTTAGATAAAAGTGGTTGTGCCACTTTTAGTCACATTAACTGCAACCAAACACTTCTTCCAACTGGCGTTCTATCTCTCACATTAATGTTTGGAAATTTTGACTCACTCCTCTGTGGTGAATTGTTTAGATGCAGAAGTATCTCAAGGTTTTTGAGCATGATATAGTCATTTCAGGTCCTGCTGCTATATTTCTATGAGGCTTGGGTTGGATTTTGATTTGGCCGTTCCAAAGCAATTTATTTATTTATTTTTTATTATTTGGCAAATGTATATTGCTGCCTACTCTCTCACCACGACTCAAGGCGTCTTACAGGAAATAAAAACACAGTGTAAAAGAAAGAAATAAAATATAAAAATAATAAAATATCAACCCCCCTCTCCCCCACCCCGGCGTCAACACACACTCATACCAGCCATTTAATGGGGTCCATCCCACTCTGGGTTCCTCAGACCTGATGGCAGAACCACATCATCAGGGCCTTCCAAAAGAGTGTCAGAGTGAGGGCCAGTCTAATTTCTGGAGGGATGATGTTCCAGAGGGAAGAAGCCACCACAGAGAAGGCCCTTCTTCTGGGTCCCACCAGATGTATCTCCTTGGGGGATGGAACCCACAACATTCCTTGCCTCCACACTCTAGTAGGTTGGGTGGATGTGACTGGCAAGAGATGGTCCCTCAGGTGACCTGGTCCCAAGTCATGAAGGGCTTTACAGGTGAAAACCAGCATCTTGAATTGCACCTTGAAGCAAATCAGCAGGAGAGGTGACACATATGCACACTGAGGCCTGTACAAAACCATGCGGGCTGCTGTATTTTGCACCAACTGGAGCTTCCAGATGCCTTTCATCTACAGCCCAATATAGAATGCGTTGCAATAGTCAAGATGGAAGGTGACTAGGGCATGAGTGACTGTGAGTAGGGATTGTTGGTCCAGGAAAAGGTGTAACTGGCGCACATCCTGCAGTTGCATAAAGGCTCTTCTGGCCACGACTGCCATCTGCTCTTCGAGCAGGAATCGTGAGTCTAGGAGAACCCCAGATTATGCACTGGGTCTGTTTGGGGCAGTGCCACCCCATCCAATTCTCCCTGGACCAAAGAACCCCAAACCAAGAGCTACTTGGTCTTGCCAAGGTTCAGTTTCAACGCATTGTTCCCCATCCAGCTCCTAACAGCCTCCAGGCATTGCGAGAGGGAGGTCACGGCATCGCTTAACTCACCATGGGCTGAAATATACAACTGATATCATCAGCATATTGATGATATCTCAGTCCATGGTGAAGGGTGATCTCACCCCAATGGCTTCCTGTAGATGTTGCAGAGAGAGTTGCAGAGAGAGTACCGAGCCCTGTGGGACCCCACAAAACAGTGGGCAAGGTCTGGATCTCCCGCCTCCTATCAACACCAATTATAATAGAATAACAAAGTTGGAAGAGACCTTGGAGGTCTTCTAGTCCAACCCGCTGCTCAGGCAGGAAACCCTATACTTTTTCAGGTAAATGGTTGTCCAATCTCTTCTTTAAAATTTCCAGGAGCATTCACAACTTTTGGGGCAAGCTGTTCCACTGATTATTTAACTGTCAGGAAATTTCTCCTTAGTTCTAGGTGGCTTCTCTCTTTGATTAGTTGTCCTTCACCCATTCTTTTGAAATTTACTTGTATGTTTGGGTCACTGACTTATTCACTTAAAGGACAGATGGCCTGATATTATTCTGTAGAATTCTCTGAAACAAACCAAAATGTATCCTTTCTTCAACAATGGTAAGTCATCTAAGCCCTGAAGCTGCATACCATCCCCAAACCATGACATTATTACTTCCATGTTTGACAGCTGAAATGTGGTTCTTCTTGTGGAGCATAGTGTTTGTCAGTCAGTCCTCTATTAGACATGAACACATCTGTGTAACCTCAGAAGTTTTACTTTTGATATTTGTTCATAGAACATTTTGCCAGACATTTAAGGAGTCATTCATGGGGGGATTTTCTGACAAACTTGAGATGAACCACATTGTTCTTCATAGTGACCAATAGCACTCAACATACTAAAACTATCATGAATTCTATTTTCATTCAGTGCTTCTCTGATAGTAGTCATTAACACTAAATTTAGCCAAGCTGAAAAATGCCTGCATATCTCTGAATTTCTTCAGGACATTTTTGAGATTTCCTGGACAATTTTAAGTTTTGCTCTTTGTCTGATTTTGACAGTCCGCCTCTTTAAGAAAGTGCACTATTACCTCAATTTTCCTCATTGCGAAATAGTTTCTGATTGTGAGTCTGGAGTCTCAACTCTTGAGAAATGGTTTTGAAATCTCTCCCCCACCCCTCACCCCCATCAATAGGCAACAATTTTGTTGAAATGGCAATCTTAACAGATATCTTTTAGTGGGGCATGACTTACTTGAGACATCTGAGTGGTGACCTCTGTGACGAGGGAGCCAAAGTTAGTAGTGTATTTATTTAGGATTGAGCTGAATCAAACTAGCACCGATTATTTAGTGAGATACACAATTGGTCTTAGTTATTCTTTAACTGAATTTACAGTTTCCAGTGAACAATACTAGAACATCACGTTTTTGGATCACTTTATGAAATAAATGAAACAAGGACCCTATGTTTGTCTTCTTATTTCAGACTCCTTTTATACTGTATGTCATAGGGATCCACATGAAGCTCTGATAACATTTGTTGGCAAATATATGTAAAATTACAGAAAATCCCAAAGGGATCCTATAGCAGTACAGCAAAAGCAGGATGAGACAACTAGAAGGATGTTATGTCACCATCACTTCATGGCTACATTCCCACTCGCTCACTCATATCCTTTTGGCCCTCTCAATGCTTCTTTGTTCAACAGTCTTCCTCCCCCTTCTGTTTCAAGCAATCCTTCCTCAGACAATATATTCTCATGGGTTATCTTAGCCCAAATCCTTACACTATGATCTCAGCTCCCTTCAACAGTAATAAAATAACTTCAGATAACTGCTCTGAAGTTAACCGGAGCCAAGGCATTTCTTGATAGCACAAAAATCCATTTAGTCCATTTTACTGACTAACCAAAGTGAACGTTTCCAATCTCAAATTCAGATTTTTGACTTCCCGTTTTTTGCAGCCGATATGCCTTCCGGAAAAAGGGAAACTATCAACCTTGCTTATATCCAACAGAGACAGTATATGATGCAACTACCTCTTTCACATTATGCCATTCTGAAGTACAGATGATAGCAGCTTCAGGGAAAAATATAATGATAGACTGTGGAACTGTTGATATAATCAATTCTTTGCCCAGTATTAACTGTCAGTTTCACCTCACCGAGAGGAATGAACCACTTAGGTAAAATTGCAGGAAATCTGTGCCAAAGAATTTCAGCAGCTGTAATGATTCAAGAGCAAGCCTTATTTAAGTAAAGGGTATTCAAGCCCACTTAGATATAATTTTCTTCCCTGCATTCTTCTCAAGGGCTCTTTTTTTTGTTCAGGTTGGCTTGTCTTCACCTGCCCTTTATTTTACAACTGCCCAAATTGCTATCAACTTGGCTATGAAATAATGCAATTTCCTTGATCAAGTCTGCCAGCTTGATCAGACCAGTCAGAGAACCTTTTCTTCAAGGCCCCCACCAACAGGAGGTGTGTGACCTATAGGAGGTGGTATAGGATCTCCTGCTTGAGCAGGTGGCTGGACTAGAAGATCTCCAAAGTCTCTTCCAGCTCTGTTCTGATTGATTGACAACAAATACCTGAAGGTGGACATTCTGTCACATTCTTTTCCCATGGAGTAGCTTACTGGTGAGATGGCCACAATTCTTATCCGAAAGATCCAAAACCTGTCCAGAAATGTTAAGATCAAGCTTTCCTAGAGGGTCATTTGAGATTGATTCTAGAACCATCAATATAAAATTTCCAGAAGTTCTTAGCAGGAAAGCTAACCCTTTGAAGTAAGAGAAGAGATTTCAACAATGGAAGACCTCTTGGTATTAGCTATTCCAATGGATGACCATTCCAATGGAATCTTATTCTCAGATACTGTAGCTGCTTCAACTTCCAGCATTCCACAAAACCTATCTAAGGCTGTTCCCCTCAGAAGAAATGCCTTACCAGTGAATCAACCCCTGAGAGGGTGTGATTAGCATTATCAAGGGCGTAGATCAGCTGATAAATCCCATCGTTGGTTTCACTGTTGCCATAAAACCCAATGCCAACAGCCGCACTAAAAAAGAGAGAGGAAATACAGAAATGTGAGTAAACAGAAAAAGTTATAAATCAGGGCCATTTGTAGCAGCATCACCAAGTTTCAGACTGAAAATCATTAGAGTGTTCCATCTATTGAAAAGATATTTTTTTAAAAAAAATCCTTCAAATCTTTCCTATAATAGAGGTGTCTCTCTCTCTCTCTCTTCCTTCCTCTCTCTCCCCCTCCCTCCCTCCCTCTTCCTCACCCTTATTCTTATTCTGTGAAACAGCTTGAATTTCTTTTTTTAGAACTGGCCTGTCAAACTGGCAATCTGCGGAGGCCACGCCCACCCCGGATCCGCAAAGGCAAAAAAGTCACTCTATCTAATTTTTACATTCACTCTTTCTACTTTTTCTTTTGTAGAAGGGAACAATAGCAGCATTCTTCCAATTGTCTGGCACACATGCAGCCTTTTACACAAACAAGCTACATAGTCACTCCATAAACAAACCACATCCCTATTTTAACATTTCTTCAGTTACACCTGCCCCCTTATTATTTTCAGCCTACTCACAGCATTTTTGATTTCCTTTTCATCCATTATTCTGGAATGTTAACATTTATAGCATTTAAAAAAGTGGATTTTATCAAATCCACTTTTATATCACTCCCATTTCATATAAATCTCCATTCCTTCCACAATTCTCTTCCTTCAGCTTCATCCCAGATTGTAGTTCAGCGTTTTAATTTTTTGCGCTTACTCTCCTCAAGACTCCTGGTTTATGCCTCTTCGCTTATTTCCACCAAATATTCTTTGCAGCTTTTTTCTTTCTATATACATTATACAATATAATTTTAATTATCTTCATTTTTCAAGAACTTGCTCTCAATTCTTTTTTTCTTCATCCACAATCTTTTTCACTTCATTTCTTCAGGCTCTAAAGAATGGCGTCTTTGCCAAGTGTGATGGAAACCCCCTTTTCTTTTGTTCCCATTGGTTTCCTCATTTCTGCCTTCTTTATTCTTCTTTGTACAGGCAGTCCTCGATTTACAACAGTTCATTTAGTAACCGTTCAAACCGTTTCAACAGCACTGAAAAAAGTGACGTGTCTGTTTTTCACACATGACTATTGCAGCATCTCCTTGGTCATATGGTCAAAATTCAGAGGTGTGGCAATGGACTCATATTTATGACGGTTGCAAGTGTCCGGGGGAGGGGGGGGCATGTGATCAACTTTTGCAACCTTATGACAAGTAAAGTCAACTGGGAAGCCAGAATCATTTAACAACCTTGTTACTAACTTAACAACTGCAGTGATTCGCTTAACAACTGTGCCAAGAAATGTCGTAAAATGGGGCAAAACTCACTTAACAACTGTCTCGCTTAGCAACAGAAATTTTGGGCTCAACTGCGGACGTAAATCGAGGACTACCTGTACTTTGTTGTTTCCTTGTTTAATACTTAATAAACTTTTATTATTCACCTAGCATCCTTTTCTTAATTCTCATTGTTGCAACCTCACACATCCACGTGGCAACCCAAAATATTTTACTCCCTTCCAAGCAATTTCCACATGCTGTTTCCTTTCATCCCCTTTCCATTTCTTCTGTGAGGAATAGATACTAATTCTAAACAGTTTATTGTCTGAAATGCTTCACAAGGAACATGACAGGGAAGAGATGAGAAACAGAGACATACTGGGCCAACATGAGAAATGGTCTACTTTACAGAAAGCATGGACGGGCACTTGAACTTGTAGTACCAAGAGCCTTGGTACTACAGTGGTTTAAAGCACCCTGTTATTAACACAGCTGCCTGCAATTTACTGCTGGTTCGAATCTCTCCAAGGCTCAAGGTTGACTCAGCCTTCCATCCTTTCTAAGGTAGGTGAAATGAGGACCCAGTTTGTGGGGGCAATAAGCTGACTTTGTATAAATATACAAAAGTATGAAGGCTATTGCTTAACGCACTGTAAGCCGCCCTGAGTCTCCGGAGAAGGGCGGCATATAAATCAAATTTAAAAAAAAAAAAAAAAAACTACCTACGATTCGTATAATTTTTGTCCTCCAAAAGACTGTATGATGGCTTGATGATCAACACGGTCACTTGGCTACTGTTTGGAAAAGGACTGCAGGTTTTCTGCTGACATTAATGGCATGACACCAAGCAATCTAATTTCTGCCAGCCAACTGTTAATGTAATAGTAATAAGGAATCAGTGAACTGTTAACAGCTGGAAGGAAGCTTCATTACTTTCTCTTTCTTCTGAGTAATTCAAGACAGCAGGACAAGGGAGGGAGAGACAGAGAGAGCCAAAGTGTCTGAGGGGAACTGGGTGGTGGAGCTGTGAAAGGGTTCTAATCCGAACTGTTTCAAATTAAATATAAATCAAGTCAAATTAAAAACATTCTGCTTTGAATAGAAAAGATCTGCTTTGAGTGCAAAACAGGAGGGTTTAAACATTTCAAATATGCTCCCAAGTTTGAATTGGATCTGTTACAGTAACAGTACAACAGAGTCAAAAGGGACCTTGGAGGCCTTCTAATCCAACCCACTGCTGAAACAGGAGACCCTATACCATTCAGAAAAAAATGGATGTCCAATCTCTTCTTAAAAACCTCCAGTGACGGAGCACCCACAACTTCTGAAGACAAGGCATTCCATTGAATAATTGTTCTGTCAGGAAATTTTTCTTTAGTTCTAGGTTGGATCTCTCTTTGATAAGTTTCCAACCATTGCTTTTCGTTCTGCCCTCAGGTCAGTGGTGAAATCCCAATTTTTTTATTGCCGGTTCTGTGGGCATGGCTTGGTGGGCGTGGCAGGGGAAGGATACTGCAAAATCTCCATTCCCACCCCACTCTGGGGCCAGCCAGAGGTGGTATTTGCCGGTTCTCTGAACTATTCAAAATTTCCCCTACTGGTTCTCCGCACTGCTCAAAATTTCTGCTACCGGTTCTCCATACTGCTCAAAATTTCCACTACCAGTTCTCCAGAACTTATCAGAACCTGTTGGATTTCATTCCTGCCTCAGGTGATTTGGAAAATAGGTTGACCTTTTCCTCTCTGTGGCAGCTCCTCAAACATTGGAAGACTGCTATCAAGTCACCCGTGGGGGCCTTCCCTTTATTAGACTACAGTAGACATACTCAGTTCCTGCAATTGTTCATCATTTTATCCTCCTTCAGAGTTACTGCTGTTGAGTCAGGTACCACCTATTCTATACCTGTGCATCTGTTTTTTCTTGCCTAAGCGTAACATCTTACTTTTCTCATCACTGAATTTCATTTTATTAGATAGGGCTCTGTCAAGATCCTTCTGAATCTTGAGCCTATCTTCTAAAGTGTTGGCTATTCCCCCCCCAGCTTGGTGTCGTCTGCAAATTTGATGAGTTCCCTTTTTATCTCCTCATCCAAATTGTTTATGAAGATGCTCAAGAGTACTGGGACTAAGTGAGAATCTTGGGGTATCCCACTGCATGCTTCCCTCCATGTTGATGTTGTTCCATTGAAGGCTACACATTGTGTGTGGTTGGTCAGAGAAGGTTAAGCTGTCTATCCCACTTTTTTTTTAAACCAAGAAGTAGGTTGTGATTTACTTTGCCAAATACCTTACTGAAGTCCAAATATACAATGTCCACATCATTTTGCTGGTCCACTAATTTAGTCACTTTGTCAAAGAATTCAATGAGGTTTGTCTGGAATTTCCAGTAATAGCTTTACTTGTTTCAAGGTGTTTGCAGATCCATTGCTTATCTTTTTCAGGATTTGATGCGAGACTGATTGGACTGATTAGTTTCCTGGATATTTCCCCCCCTTTTTGGAAGATTAAAATCACATCAGCTCTTTTCCAGTCCTCTGTTAGTTCCCAGGATCTTTGAAAGATATGGTTCAGTAGTTCCAACATCACATCTGCCAGCTCCTTCAGAATTCTGGGATATAACCCACCTCATCCTGGTGATTTTAACTCATCTAGAATGAATAGATGCTGTCTTACTCCTCCTAGGAGAACCACTGTTTTTGAGCAAAAACCCAAACCAACCCATTTCCAAAATGCTCAATACAACCACTTCAGCTTCACGCATTCTTGCCTAGTTGCTCTATATTCCTATTGGGATGTTACTCATTCAGGATAATTCAATTCATATCCCTAGTACATGAGCTCATATGAAACATGTACACATGTAGCCTTTTGGGTAGGTAAACTTGTAGCCAGTGGATTGCTCACCCATGAAACTGTTTTTGTGTAAAGAATATTCTAAAACCTGCCTGTGGATCAGCTTCCAGCTTTGGGATTGATTGGCATTTATATCCACTGTATCCATTTATAGGCATTATGTAAGGCAATCTACTGTAAGGCAGGCTTCAGTTCTATTCCTTTATAAGATGCTTTTAAAACGGAAAGAATTGAACATATGACATATCCAATACAAACTGCAGACACTGCAAAATAGATGGAAAAAGGGCCCGAGCAATTTGCTTGTCTATTTCAGGTGCCTTCTTATAAACAGAACATACACTTTTTAGTCCAAGGATTTTTAAGTCACTGAAAATTAATAAATATTGTAAATGTAGGACCTTGCCAACTTACAACCTGAACAGTTTTCAGTAAATTTACAATTTAGATAAGGGCTAAGGTCTACAATATTTCAGCTGTTCTGGATTAAATTCCCATACTTTCCAGCTAGCCAGGAATTAAGAAAATTGAAGTCCAAAATATTTGGAATCAAATTGGGGACAGATGAAATTCCCAGCTAATTCAACAGAGGATGGTCAACCTCATTTCATTCCCTCTACTTATAAATGAGTTTGTAAACTGGCTTGCATCCAAATGCTGAGAGATTGAGGCTAAAAAGCAAAAACAAAAAACAACCCCCCCACACACAACCCCCACCTTTTTGTTATGAAGAGTTATGAAAATTTGCAGAAAAATATTGCTTTGGATGAAAAATATTTTTATGGTAAAGCTTCAATAGTGATAACTAAGACTGTTTCTTTCCAAGGAAAGAAATGCTGTTTGGGGAGAAACATTCACTAATT